ATGATAGTTGTGGAGGTAGTCAAGACGTAATCCTGGTTGATAAGATTTGATCTGAACTAAGAAGAACCTGACATACATGACATTGATCACTACTCATTGATCAATTAATTGTGAATACATTTCAGTCTTACAAGAGGTCAGTCGCGACCCGGATAACTCAGTGATAACGTCTCTGACTATGAAACTTGGTGGCATGTGATCGAATCCGTTACCTAACATCAGTTTCCTCAAGATTACAGGTACAGATTGCTGACAAGTGTCAAAACAGCACGAAATCTAGGTTCAGGGTTTTATGTAAACTATCCCTAACCACTATCTTATCCCAACAGAATTATTCAGATCTTGTAACCAGTTAAATACCCTTTTAATTAAGTATTCAACAATTCAAACTATCGTGTGTTTGAGATCGTCAATATCATCCGGAATTCATACGATGGACTACACTGCAAAGTAGTGCATATAGGACAGCTGACGGATTCATTTCAAGTAAGGACTGGAATCTGACAAAACTGTTTACATTCCGCTTTCTCTTTCTTCTGGTGGTCTACTGGATTATGAAGATCTCGATAACTGAGTAAAATCACGGAATACAATGAACATATCGTAATCATTCAGAAGATTTGGACTTCAGAGATGACCTATCTCTCCTATCCCATACACGCGAACAAATGCAGATGAAGATAACTTGTTTAGTAGCATCCTCTGCATCAGTAAAAAGAAAAAAGTAAGATCCTCAAATACAACACAAAGAACACCAACTCAACCACACTTGATGGGGGACTCTGGAAGAGGTACAAATTTTCACTCACCTGGAGAGCATCATCAATGAACAATGGGGATTGGATGCAGCGGAAATGAGAGAGTCGGCAAAGCAAGAGCTGTATTCCCACAGTTGAAAGACATATGCAAGTCAAAACAACTACCTGTCATCCAATATCGATTTCACAATGTTTAATACAGACGTCAAGATAGTTCTACTGTGCGGAACTGAAACTTTAGGAACTACAATAACCACCATCAAAAATGTACAAATATTTATCATCACTTGTCTGTGCAAGATACTCAATATCCGTTGACCGGAAACTATCACCAACAGTGTACTATATGAGAGAACAAATGAGATTCCAACTAAAGAGGAAATTAGGAAAAGACTTTGGAAGTGGACAGAATATACATTATAAAGATCAGCATCACGTAGCAAGCGTTATCTTGGAATCCCGAAGGGAAACGGAAAAGTGAAACGCCGGAGAACACACTACGTCAGGACTTGGAAGCATATATGAAAAGAATTAATAGTAACTGAAAAGGATTTTCTACAGCAAGGTTGGATGGAGAGTGCTGATGTTCAACTTATGCTCCTCGATGAGGGGTAAGAGGTGTGAGTAATTAGGTAAGTAATATCTAATTAAGTCACTTGTTAGTAAGTTAACTATAAGTCAATGGTTACTTACACTTTAAAGCAAACACCTTAATTCAAATTTATCACTTAAAGGAAGAATTAATTTTTTAAAGAAATAAATAGTCATTTTATAGGTAGCTATTTAGAATCAGTAATCATTTCATCTGAAAATATTCAGACAACCCGTACAAATAAATTAAACTTTATACCATTGCACAAGCAATTGGTTATCAGGACTCAGTAACTAAGTGGATAACATGGTGTCACTTGAAGTGAACGGCACTTGATTCGATTCTCAAATTAAACCTCAACATGTCTAGAATACCCTGTTCATTCAATTGACAAGTCCTTATTCAGATGAAATACTCATTGTCTATTCCACTGTTAGTCACTTTATCACCTTTACTTATTAAGAACAAAATCAATAGAAAGAAAAGAAAACAATGATTCATTAGAAAGGTTATTCAATCATTATCACATTTAAACAAAGAAACTCGCGAGAAGCGGGATCTTGAATGCGCACTGCCACTGAGTTAGTCCTATCCTAAGACGAAACGGCTATCCAGTACTTCCAGGTTTCCTATGGTAGTCTAACGTTAATGGACTCATGAATTCAACTATTGAAAGAATAAATAGTTAATTAGTTATTTTCTTTTTCTTCTTTTTTTTCTCTCTCTCTCTCTTTCTTTCTCCCTTTCTCTCTTTTCTCATCTCACTTTTGTCATTTGTTTTATTTGTTTTAATTTATTTTATTCAAGTTCAATAAAAACATATCATTAACACTTAATTATAAATTAAATGATAAGCTTATTTTTTCTTTTCTTTTACAAGTAATTATTAATTCTTTTTTTCTTTTTTTTCTTTTTTTCTTCTTTTTTAACTTGCTATATTCTTAATAATGATCCCCGCCCCTTTTCTGATCATATATATATATATATATATATATATATATATGTATATCTTTTCGACCGAAAATTCCCACGCCATCTCCCCCCTCCTCTACCCGACCCAGTAATTTTTTTTATATTTAAGGTCAAAATATTCATCATATTTATTATTTTTTTTTATGTATGTTGTCATGTTGTTAAAAAGTTCAACTTTAAAATAAAATAATAATAATAATTTAAATAAAAATAGAATAGGTGTTTATTAAAGTGTCAATTTTGTCTAAGGGAGGGGGAAGGTGAGGGGGGAGAGATTTATGGAGGGGGGGGATTAGTTTTTTTTGGGGGGGGTTCATTAGTTTACATTTATAGATTGATAAAGAATGAGATCATTTATTTATTGTTTTAATTCATTGAAATTATGCCAAATATAAATTATCAAAGAAGAGTTTTATAGTAATTTAATAATTGAAGTTAGATCACCACCATGGAAAACCTGGAGATATTAGATGACCATGTCATAGATACACACTGTTAAGAAGTTAAATAGTAGAAAGAAACGGCCATTCAATGTTTCTAGGTTTTCCATGGTGGTAGTCTAACTTCAATTGACTTATGAACTCAGATATTAAATTAAATATAAATTGGTCAAACTCTCTTAAGGTTATTCTGTCAAGGAAACTGGAATAATGAAATAATGATTATGATCATTATAAGTTCACTTGGTTTTGTTGTTTACTTAAATCTTCCCATGGATGTTTAGGACTGCAAATGATCATTTTTACTGGTATATGCGCATACTGTGCGTATTGTCTCATTGTTGCCTTAATTCTCAAGCATTATAAGCGAAGATAGATGGATAGTGGTTAGCAATGCAATCCAGTTTAATGCACGTTTTGTTTTATTTGGGACTCGTCAGTTAGATGCGCTTATCATATCTTAGAGTTAATGTTCACTCTGGAACTTGAAATCAACATCGTTTGCTTCAAACACCATCACCTTACACATTTCAGTTACTGAGTCCTGATAGCAACTAGCTTTTGAAATCAGATGAAGTGTATTTAATAGCTCATTTGTATTAGTATGAGAATTTTCAGCAATATAAACTCATGATAGTCGATTTATGAATAGATTCAAGAAGAAATCCTAAAGTTCCAGTACACAATGGTAACTAATAAAGTTCATCCATATCACGACTAATACAAAATATCTTCCATGGTAACAGATGATAATTACCCAATATTACGTAACATGATATGATACGTTTGAACTTCATTATCACCAGTGAATAAATACTTCCCTATAGACTTGATTTATTTAAAGCAAACCAGAATTGAAAGACTAAACGTTTAGTTTCATGTGATTCATCAAATAAAACTAAACAGATTAAATAAGGTTCCAAAGTTAAGTGAGTAAATGTTTGATTCATTCTTTTGTGATCCCCTTACATCTATCTCCGTATAGATCAGACTGGACATCCATAAATATCCATTATAAACTGTGATTACTTAATTCAACTTTTGGCAATGAATCTTCCCATTAGGATTATGTAGAAAAAAAAGAGATGAAATATGACTAACAGTGAAATACAGCACGTGGGTTTCGTCTTATTTGGGACTCGTCCGTAGCACACGAACCTAGTACTATTCACTCCAAGTATCAATACATTATCCACTTAGTTACTTCATCTAGACAGTCATTAACCCGTGCAATCAATGCAAATATCATAGGTTAAGGGAAGACAAAGAGTGTATACACCTGCGCCATTGTGATCGATGTTGAACCATGTCACCAAGAGTCTCCAACTAGTACCTAAGTGAATAACGCGATGGTGTTTGAAGCGAACGGTACTGGGTTCCAGTCCCAGAGTGAACATCAACTCTAAGATGCAGGTGCATCCAGCTAACGAGTTCAAACTAGGACGAAACATGCGTCTTGGTTCCCACTGCTAGCCACTATTCCTGACTGTTGTTGCTACATTAAGGTGTTGGTCGGGCTTGCCTGTCGTGATTAACCACTCGAGCTATACTGGCTAAAACAACCATTCCTCAAGGCCCTACCATTCTAGACAGGTCGGTTGAAGAACGGTAAGACTAAAGGCAGCAAACCCAAGGTGTGAGGGCGAAGTCGTACTGCTGACTGTACAGCAATGCTGTCTTTCCACAAGGAGGGGTGGAGTTAGAAAAGGTTGACCCTAAAAATGCACACGTCGCCTTATCTCACGGATATCCGTCTCCGGCGGTAAGGTCTCAACAAGTACGGAGCTAACACGAAAATTGCCAACAAAAAGGTCGTGTGTGACCGACATCAAGCAGTTGTCCCTTGAACACTGCAGTCACACTCTAAGGTCACTAAGACCATCTCTAATCTAATTTCATTTTTAGGTACCTTCAGAAGAACCTTTCCACGGTTTTGGCAATCAAAGAGGTAATAACCACCCTCATACCTCTGACAGCACTCAAGACTATTTCATTCATAATTAACCACCTTTTTCCATTCTTATTATTCCACCTACATCAACTTCCAACTCTGAACTTCCCTGGTTGGTGTATGCACACTCTTCTTCTTATTCAATATTCATCTTTAACACATTAATCATAATATATCAAAGTGAAGACAATTAGATAACACCCTCTAGTATACATGGCAACAATTATTCCTATGAGTATTATAGTTTCATATCATGTGATGTATTTCCTTTTTTTTTTAAAATCTAGATATGGAATGATTATCATTTCTTATGGAATCCTAAAGAGTTTGGTAATATAACTACTTTAAACTTACCATATACTGCTGTATGGAGACCAGATATTCTATTGTATAATTGGTAAATGAATCAATTATTAACATTTATTCACTCCTTATATTTCATTCCTAATATATGATTATGTAACTTTTATTGAATAGATGTTTCATGTTTATTTCAGGTCATGGGGGTATCTTTTAGGTTTTGGAAATGTTAGTGCTAAATTCAAAGTAGAGTTATAGTAACAAGCTAATCAATCACTGAATAAGCTACGTTATGGTTAATATGTTTAAGAATATAAAAGAAAATAAAGATGAATAGTGGTTAATAGTGGAATTCAGGGGCACCCAATACATATGCATCACACAAGTCACTTGATTTGTGTGTGGGCTGTGATACTTCCCAGATGCCTGAACTGAAGCAGGTGATTTCCTTAGGGGGCCACACCTTGAGCCTTCGACCTAAAAGTTTAATCCTTAAGGTAATGGAGCAACGTGAGGAGATACAGTCCCATGGTAACCGGTGACCAACAATTGGTTCATACGCCAATTGTTCAATCAGGATCCTAGAGCTCATGTGTACTATTGGTTTGGAATCAGGGTTTTTCAACTCATTTATGTGGATTCTCTATATCCACTAACTCCGTTAAAGCGCCAGATATTTGCTTTTCGTCCTCTCAATTTCATAAACAAGAGTAATGCCGCGAGAAGGTAGTGAGTAGGACTTCCCTGGAGTAATAATATACAAACCAAACAGATCACGTCGTAACATAAAATAGAAAATACACATTTGTACAAGATCAAGCCAGAAGTGGTTGTGAATGTGGGAGACTGTAATTAACAGACTGGGCGTAACTCAAGAATAGTAAATCGTATCATATTCATCTATGGGTCAAAATGAAGCTTATAAAAAGAGAAACATCAGTATGAATAGTTTACTGTCACAACAGTTATACAATAAAAGAACATATTCATCGTATTGGTCCATAAATGGGTCCTAAAAGTTACCATTCATTATTCTAATCGGGATATAACAAGTAAATTGATAAATAAACTGGTAAACGTTAGTTGACAACATTGACAATTAGCACACGTAACTAATGGACAGAGTACTAATGTCGTCTAACTAAGAGCGTGATATCAATGACATGAAAGCATCCATCTAAATCAATAGTACCATTCCACAGATGTGAATACATGTACTTGCTTACTTACTTACACATGTTATTCCTCGTGAAGGAGCATAGGCAGCTCACCAGTATTCTCCATCCAACCCTGTCCCGGAAAATCCTTTCCAGCTCTTTCCAGTTGTTATTCATTCTTTTCATATCCGCTATTTCCCGACGTAATGTGTTCTTTGGCCTTCCTCTTTCCCACTTCCCTCCAGGATTCAAAGTTTACGCTTGTTTCGTGGTACAGTTTGATAATTTCTTCAATGTATGTCCTATCCATTTCCACCGTCTTTTCATAATTTCCTCTTCAGCTGGAAGCTGGTTTGTTCTCTTTCACAAAAGGCTGTTGCTGATGGTATCCGGCCAATGGATGTTGAGTATCTTGCGTATACAGCTATTGATAAATACCTGTACCTTCTTGATGGTGGATGTTGTAGTTCTCCATGTTTCAGCTCCGTATAGTAGAACTGTGTTGACGTTTGTATTGAAGATTGTGACTTTGATATTGGTTGACAGACAGTTGTTTTCAGTCTCATCTGTTCTTGAATTGAAGGAATATACATACTACAAAAATATTACACAATTTATTTTCTACATGATTCATATGTGACCGATTTTAATCAGTTGTACGATGAAGTATATAAGTAAGTTATTAGATCGGTTAGATCATCAATATTGATCTTCCTATCACTTTTAGATGTGTCAAACTACAAATACCTCTCTATTCTGTGTATCCCACGTGAAAGTGTCATTGATTAAGATGTAACCTGAAAGCTTCGTCAATTCAAACATGACGTATTCAACTGTTAAAAACTGTATGATTTATAAATGATACAAGTTATACAATCTACAAGATTATCGTTTTGTTACTTCAAATAAAGTTGTTGTTTTGTGTATGTGTGTGTGTGTGTGGTTATTTCTTTTTTAAATTTAGTGCGGATGAAAAATTCGATCGTACATTTCCAACAAATACAATTATAAAACATGATGGTACTGTTCAATGGATGCCACCGGGATTATTTAAATCTACATGTAATATAGATATTTTATGGTTTCCATTTGATGAACAGGTAAATGGAAATTGTTTTAATACTTAAAATTCATGAGTTGATTAAAGCTAGATCACCAAAAAAAAAAATTTGAAATCACTGAACGGTTGTTTTGTTCTAGTATGGTACTTCTCAGCAGCGTGCACCTATGATCCCGCACATAGGATTCGAACCCAAGACCTTCGATCTGTTGCGCGAATGCTTAAACTTTAGACTATTGATCCATAAATGGCTGCGTGACCATTCACCGATTGTTTGAATTAGATACCTGTCTCTACTTGACATATATTAAACTCCACTGGTCAGAGTTTCTCACTAGAACTCCAGGAAATCATTTTGAAAGCAGTCACTAGTATGCACATGATGATTGTGATCAGAATGTGGTTTTTATGTAGAGAATGTAGTAATTTCAATAGTTGAATTTATGAGTCAGGTCTATAAGATAAATAATAACTGATTACTTATTAACTATTCGTACTTCTTCATTTGTCTCATTCATTACGTTCAGTGTATGAATAAATTAGAAATTCAAGGTCTATATAATCATGATAGGAACAATGATCAATAAAGCTCATCTATATCTGATAGATAACATCTATAGCAATGAATAATAGTCATATTAGATCATAAACTGGGTAATTTCAATATATGAGTTGACCTAGATGTTTATCATTATTCCAAATACAGTCCGTTTGTGAGCAGTATCTTTTACACCACCATGGAAAACCTAGAGACACTAAACGGCCGTCTCATCCAAGTATGGGACTCCTCAACAGTGCGTAATCACGATCCCGCTCGCGAGATTTGAACCCAGGACTTAGAAGTCTTGGGTGCGAACGCTTAACCTCTAGACCATTGAGCTAATTAGCATCCAACAATGTTAGTGTATAACTTCAAACAGTCCATTAAGTTGCGCCACCGCCCACCGTTGTCATCAGTGAGTTAATATCTCACAACAGACTAGGTTTGAACTCCACTGTTAACGGCTTCACACTAGAACTCCAGGAAATACTTCTTGGAGAACGTCACAAACGATTTTAACATATTGCTACTAATTAGATTAAAGAATTCATTTTTGTATTGCTCATTTGAATCTTTCCATTGATGTTTAGAACTGAAATCGATCAGTCTTTTATTAGCAGATGTCGGAACATTCAAGAAAACTATATATAAATGAATTCAAACTTAACCTCATTACACAACCTAATGGCTATTTAAGCTCAGTAGCTAAATGGGTAACATGATCACGTTTAAAGTGTACAATAGTTAGTTTGAATCCTAGAGTAACATATCAACTCTGAGATTCAGGTATATTCAACTGACGACAAACCTCAAGTAGGACGAAATGCCGTTGATCATTATCTATCTTGATTGAAAATTGAAGAATTGTTTTATTAAATAATCTTTACTACTTAATTTAATTCAGTAGATTAATCAAATTGTTAAAATTAACTTTTTTATTCAAGAGTTGTATATTAAAATTTGGAAGTTGGACATATTATGGTGATCAAATTAATTTTCAATTACAATGTATTAATGCTTCACAACCTGATTGTACACAAGTTGGAACAGTTGATTTATCTGAATATTCACGTAATGGAGAATTTCATCTTAGTGGTAAGAAGATTCAGTTTTGTTTTGTTTTTCTTTAATTAAAAACACACTTATGTGTGTACTTTGTAGTAGATCAAAACAGTAGCGAGGTTATTGTTTATTAATGTATAGAATTAGTTACTAACTTCCTTCCTTCCTACCTTATCTACCTAATTACTTACTTCCTTCCTTCCTTCCTTCCTTCTTTACTTACTTACTTACTTACTTACATACTTACTTACTTACTCACTCACTTACTTACTTACTTACTCACTTACTTACTTACTTACTTACTTACTTACTTACTTACTTAATTACATGCTTACTTACTTACGTACTTACTCACTTACTTACTTACTTACTTACTCACTTACTTACTTACTTACTTACTTACTTACTTACTTACTTACTTACTTACTTACTTACTTACTTACTTACTTACTTACTTACTTACTTACTTACTTGCTTACTTACTTGCTTGCTTGCTTACTTACTTACTTACTTACTTACCTACTTACTTACTTACTTACTTATTTACTTACTTTGGATAGAATTAGTTAGTGATATCGAAATAATAAATACACAAATGAAACTCAAACATTACTTGTCATTTTCTAGATACAGTATGTTCGATCAGTCAGTAGATCAACAACTATATTATGTAATTAGTATATCATTCAAAGTAATCTACCATAAATAATCCAGTGATAAGGATGACCTGTCAATATATATAACAATTATATTAGTGATGGATAGTGGTTAGCAGTGGAATCCAAGATGCGAGTTTCGTTCTATTTGCTAACCACTATCAATCTTTGCATATAACGCTTGTGAATTAAGGGAATATTGAGACCATATGTATAGTATGCACATATATATCAATAAGAGATTGATCAATTACACTCCTAAACAACAATGAGAAGATACAATTCAACAACAATATCAAGTGAATTATACTAATGATTCATAAATAGTATGAACATCAGTATATTTAGATGAAAATAATCACTATGTCACACAAATTGCAGTGAGTCTACTGTAAAAGTTCACGATGTACAAATCAAATGGAAGTTTTTTTTTATTTTTTAATTGAAATCATCAATCGATGAATGTTAGATCACCATTGAAAACATGTGTGGGCACCATACGACTAATTCGCTCTAGTATATGACTCGTCATCAATGAGCATTAATGATCCTGTACTTGGGATTCGAACCCAGAACCTTCGGTCTTGTATATAGACGTTAAACCACTATTGAATGGTAGTCTAACATTTATCAATTCATGATCATAATCATTCACTTAACAATCATTATAATGTCACACTATGAACTAAATATTTCATTAAAGAATTGTTGTTACTAACTATTCAAAATTCTAATAAAAATTCACATTTAAAACATAAGTGTTAAATGTTTTGAAATATTGATTAGCTGACCTTTGTGTTCATTTATGAATGTTGGGATGATCCAGAAAACTTCGCACAAAAGACAAGAAAGGTTCAGGAAACACTAAGAAGCATTTTATCCAGTCAGCATTCAGTGGAAATTCAGCCAGAAACATCAGGAAACTGAAAAGTCACATGTAGAGCTTCTGATTGACGGATTACTATACTGCTACTATGTTTAGTAGCATTCCAAGATTTTCGAGTAACCCAAGGACATCTAAAATACTATAAAAACTCTATATTTTCTGTACTAAAACGAACCTTTGGAGTAAAGTGCTTCTTGCATATTTTGCGCCTTTTCTCTCGTGTTCAGGTCGCCGTGTAGTTCTAATTCGGGGGGGGGGAGAGTTACGAGAATAGATTAGGAACCGAATATACCGTTCAATTGGCAAGACTTCTCAGTAAATATTCACAATCATGATGTCTTCAAATGACTACACATTTCATTGATTGAATATACTTGTTGTGTGTATTGTGTAGAAATCCCCACCCCTCTGTCTTTTTTACTAAAAAGAAGAAACTGAACTATTATAGTGTAACTTGTTACTTGTTACTCAATAAATCAATAAATAATACAATGTAAATCTTGTAAATGCACATGGTTTATAAGCATCAGTATGCTTGTTGCACATTAACTGAGACCATGTTATAACAGATATACAATTCAAGATCAAATATATCAAATAACTAGTTTGCTATTCATGTATCATGAGGCAAAACTTAACTTGGTTTCCTGAAGGGAAACGAAAAGGAGGAAAGACAATGAATACTTCATAATGGGAATCGGAAGCAGATATTGTAAAGATCAATAGTAATTGGAAAGCATTGTTCAGGATAGAGTTTGATGGATAGTGGTGGTGGATGCCATATGCCACTCTATAAGAGGTAACAGACGTAAGTAAGTAAGTAAGTAAGTAAGTAAGTAAGTAAGTAGTTTATTCAATACAGTTACAATCAGTCTACACTTAATGATTCTAAAGTACTTCATTATTCATATAACAAGTTAACCGCAATTTGTTCTGTATGTTTTACACATTCTACCGGTTAAAACAACAACAACAACAACAACAACAGGATCTTCAGTTCGACGTTATGCACAACGATATGAATGTTGTGATTATGATTTTGTTGATGTAAAAATTGCAATTACACTTCAACGACGTGCACTTTATTATGTATTTAATCTTATTGTGCCTTGTTTATTAATATCTGGTATGGCTTTAATGGTATTTATGTTACCACCAGATGCAGGTGAAAAAATATCATTAGGTAAGTAAATATAATTTTACATGATGTTAAGACTTTTCTTATAGTTTAATCTCAGATGGGTTTTATGGAGATTGTAGTAATTTCAATGGTTAAGATCATGAGTCAATTGAAGCTCGACCACCATGGAAAACGTGGAAGCACTGGACGGCCGTTTTGTCCTAATGCGGGACTCTTGAGCAGTGCGCATCCACGACTTCGCCAACTGCGATATTCGAACCCACGACCTACTGGTTTCGCGCGCGAGCACTCATGATCTTAACCATTGAAATTACTATAATATACACAAAACCCATCTGATATTAATCAAAATATGTTCACTAGTGACTGGCTTCAAGAAGTATATCTTGGAATCCTAGTGAGAAGTAGTGACCAGTGTAATTCAACCAGGTCTATTGTGAGATAGTAACTCACTGAAGACAATGGTGGATGTGTCGCTCAATTTCGTTGATTAGTTAAAGTTAGATATTAACACCGTTGGATGTCGGCTCAGTGGTCTAGTGGTTAAGTGCTGGCGAGCGATTCCAGTAGGTCTTGCGTTCGAATCTCGCAGGGGGCAAGGTCGTGGGTGTGCACTGCTGAGAAGTCCCAAAACAGGACGAGACGGCCGTCCAGTGCTTTCAGATTTTCCATGGTGGTCTAGCTTCAACTGACTCATGATCTTGACTATTGAAATCATAGTTTAATTATATTAGAATTGATAAAATAGAATGATTACAATGAAGTCTTAAACCTCTTATAAATGACATGTTTTACGTTCATTAATTACTATGTAGCAACTAATAACATACATGTCTAGTACCATTTAGCATTGACCAGAATTTGAGGCGAACAGTGCTGAGTTCGAGTTTCGGAGTGAACATCAACTATAAGATGCTGGTCCATCCGTCTGACGAGTCCCAATTAGGACGAGATGCGCGTCTTATATTCCAGTGCTAGCCACCATCCATTTCTTATTATTAAAATCACCTAATAAGAAGTGTGTAAGTAATTGGATAATGGGTTTTAAGCGTTGTTTAGGCCCTAAACCTTCAGGCTGAGCTACTTCGTTTACCACCCTACATATGTGTTGTATGCAGTATAAGCAATAAGCTTTATGGGTATGTATAGCTGAAGGTCTCATATGAGACTGAAGGTTTACCATTGATATTGTGGATGGTTCAGGATTACTTTGGCAAGTTTTGTTGACTGTTCATGCACAAAATTAGTTTGCTGGTTAATAGATTTCATTCATACTGGTGGCTGCTTTTCAGTGTTCTCAAGGGCCATTGTCATTGGGACATTGTAAGACATGTCGCCATTTCTAGCATGAATGAGTTTGACTGTCGTGTAAGTGGAATAAGTCAACTTTGACCTGTTCATCCTGTGCACAATTGATTTATGCGATCGATGATATGAATAATTATACATGTGATGTGAATATGTATATGAATGGTGTATATGGTTCATCAGGGTGCTTGGTACTTGTATGGTTGCGCTACAGGATTGAGCTGTACTATTTAGATTGTAGCGTTTAAACCTGTATGGTATCTAAATCTCCTATGAAGCGTAATTGAGCTGTACTTTTCGGGTTATAAAGTTTAAGCCTGGGTAGCGTTTGACTCTTCTGCAAGTGAGATTGAGCTGTACTGTTCGGGCTAAGCTTGGGCAGTATCTGGCTCTCCTATTAAACGGGATTAAGCTGTACTGTTTAGGTTGTCAGATGAAAGTCTGGATGATGTCCAGTTCTCCTGAAAATCAATATAAAATTACCCTGGTCCACAAAAGTTATATTATATCACTATGTGATTAGAACAAACAATAGAATTCACTATGTTGACATTTGTATTGAATATTCTGACTTGAATCTTGTTTAACAGACAGTTATTTTGAATTAAGATTATAATCAAAAGTAATTAGAACTGTACATTTTCTTATGGCGCCGTTTTTTTTTTAGATTTTTTTTGATGAAGAAAACTATTTGAATCAATATTGTTTCCTTTCTTCTTCTTTTCTTTTTTCTTTTTTTTGTTTTTTTTCTTGTTTCTAGGTGTAACAATTCTTTTATCCTTAACAATGTTCTTACAACTTGTTGCAGATAAACTTCCACAAACATCTGAAGCTATACCATTAATTGGTATGTATATTTATTCTTATAATTCAAATATATACTAGATTAGTCTCAGAAGGGATTTAATGAAGATTGCAGTAATTTCAACAGTGATCTAATGGTCTAGTGGTTAAACGCCTGAAGCGAGACTGATAGGTCCTGGGTTCTAATCCTGCGGGGCGGGATGGTGGATGCGCACTGATGAGGAGTCATACAATAGGACGAAATCGCCGTCCAGTGCTCCCAGGTTTTTTATGATGGTCTAGCTTCAGTTGATTGACTCATGATCTCAACTATTGAAATATACCAGATTATTTATTTATTTGAACAGATGAACATTGGTACAAGGGGGCATCACACTTCATCATTCGATTTGTATAAAGGTTGGGATACTACCCAAACTGATGGAGTTGGTTTTAGTAAAAGGCCACAACCCGAGACTTTGACTTACGGATGTAATCTACAAAACAGTGAAGCAGCGTTAAGAGAAGCAGTGTGATGGTAACCAGTGACCAAGAATAAGTTCATACTCTATTTGTATATTCAGTATCCTGGAGTTCATATGAACTATTAGTTTGAAATCAGGGTTTACCAACTCCCCTGGATGGATCCTTCATATCCATCAACCTGGTTAAAGCTCCAGAGAAAGACATGAGAATGACGTCCTTGACAGTGGTTATATGCACGTTACCATTTGAGAGCATTTCAAGAGGAAGAGCTAACTCTCCACACCCTCATCCTTACCAGTCAAGAAGTACTTTTCAATGTCTACTTTTTTATCAAATTCATTGAATAAACAAACATTTAACTTTATAGATTGTATTTCACACTGACTGAACTCAGTTATATTATTTCTAAAAAACTTAGGTTCACTGAATAACTGCTTTGTCTTAGGATGAAAATCTTCAGCAATGTACCTATACAATCTAACTAGTGAAATCGAACTAAGAAACCTTTAGGTTAACCAGTGATCACTTAACTATACACATTTCTAACTTGAACCAATTTATGAACTCTTTTCATTAATCATTCATAACTACTAGTTTTTCTACTTTACTCATCTCTTCTTCCCCCCCTTTTTTTGTTGTTGTTGATGAATCCAATCACATTTAACAGGTATCTACTTTTCATGTACAATGTTTATGTGTTCATTATCTATTGTATTTACTGTACTTGTGTTAAATTATCATCATAGATCAGCCGATTGTGTTACTGTACCAGCTTGGGTAAGTTTTTTCTTAACTATTCTTCTTATTCACTTGATATTGTTGTTTTATTTGAATCTTTCCATTGATGTTTAGGACTGAAATTGTTCAGTCTGTTATTGGCATATGTGCATACTGTGCGTATTGCCTCGATATTGCCTTAATTTACAAGCATTATAAGCAAAGATGGATAGTGGCTAACAGTGGAATCCAGTTTGACGCGCATTTCGTCCTATTTGGGACTCGTCAGCTAGATGTACCTGCATCTCAGAGTTGATATTTACTCTGGGACTCGAACCCAGCAAGTGGATATCAAGACTCAGTAGCTAAGTGGATAACGCGATAGCGTTTGAAGCGAACGGTACTGGGTTTGAGTCCCGGAGTGAACATCAACTCCGAGATGCAGGTACATCCAGCTGACGAGTCCCAAATAGGATGAAACGCGCGTTCTGGATTCCACTGCTAGCCACTATCCATCTTTGCTTATTCTTCTTTTTATTATTATTATAATAATTGTAAATCAATTCGAATAACTTGAAGAGTAGTTCAACTCTTCAATCGCTACATTGTTATTTCATGTTTATTCATCTTTACAACTTCTCAAGACTATTTTGCATCATGGAAAGGAAAGAGAATATAAGAGCTTCAAAATGATCTGTAATAAGAATAGTGATTAAGAGTTGGTGAAGATGATTTGTAGTTCAAATGGATAATTTTGATGAAGTTTTATTCTCTAAGCTAGATGGTTTAGTCGTGGAGCTTTCATCATTCTTCTGAATGACACCATCAACTCACATTTCAGGTAAAAGTGCTGATGATGTTGTTCAGAAGAATAATGAAAGTTCCACGACCAAACCATCCAGTTCAGAGAACAAAACTTTACCAAAGAGGGATTAAGAGTAGTGAATTAAAATTAATGATTACACTTCGTGTATTTATTACCTTTTCATGGAAGTGTCTAGGTCTCTCAACAGATTTTTTTTCAATAGTTAAGATCATAAGTTAATTGAAGCTAGACCATTATGGAAAGCCTAGAAGCACTGGATGGTCATTTCGCTTTAGTATGACACTCCCCAGTAGTGCTCATCCACGATCCTGCCCCGTGGGATTCAAATCCAGAACCTATCAGTCTTGCGCGTGAACGCTTAATATCTAGATCACTGAGCTAACCGGCACCCCACAGTGTTAATGTCTAACTTCAACTAATCCATTAAACTGAACGACACATCCACCACTGTCTTCGATGACTTACTATCTCACAACAGACCTGGTTGAACTCCACTGGTCACTGCTTCTCACTAGAACTCCAGGATATACATCTTGAAGCCAGTCACTAGTGTGCACATGATTATTGTAACCAGAAAGTAGGTTTTGTAGATATTATAGTTATTTTGATAGTTGATATTATGAGCTAATTGAAGCTAGACCACCATGGAAAACCTGGAAGCACTGGATGGCCATTTCGTCCTATTGTGGAACTCCTCAGCAGTGTGCATGCACGACGAATTTGTGTATTAATTCCGTCATCTTAATCAGTTCAGTATTTTATCAATCGATGAAGGTTAGTTGTAACTACATTGAACAGTAGATGATAATAGGTGTCTGTCAACATAAAATGTTATCTCAGCTTATTCCTATAACTAGCATGACGTAATATATATAACGTATAATTTTGTTTATTAGTGTGGGGTTGTAAAGATTGTTAAGTTTTATGATTGATATCATGAATCGATTAATGTAAGACAACTATTGAAAACCTGAAAGCATTGGACGATCGTTTTGTCCTAGTATGAAACTCCTGAACATTGCACATCCACGATCTCGTTCACGGGATTCGAACTTAGAACCTTCAGTCTCGTACACAAACACTTAACCTTTTTGTTAAAACCCTTTTCTTAACTAATAGTCATAATTTTCTTTTAATTGAATCAATTCAGATTAGGAATATTGTCAATACATATTTAGCTAAATTAATGTGTATGGAACCTCCGAAACGTTCACAAATTATTGAAGTTGAAGATATTTCATCATCTATTAGTGATAATTTCATGGAGAATTATCCTAATACAAAAAAGTCACAAAATAAAACACTTATCAACAGAGGAGAGGGAGGAGAACAGCAACAACAAGGAGGAGGAGGAGGCGAAGAAGAAGAAGAAGATGATGATGATGATGATGATGATCAAGAAGTAGAAGAACGCATAGGAGTTAAACCATTTGTTGGTTGGAATTATGATACTACTAATATAATAAATAGTAATATAAATCCTATTTATATGAAAAAACATTTATCTACTAATTCACCAATATTTATTAATGGAAATTTAAAAACAACAACATTATCCATGATAAATCAATTCACTAATAATATTGATTATCAATTACAGAATACAATTCATGAAATTAAACCAAAAAATCCAATAGCAAATGTTATTGATTTAGATGATGATTTTCGTGCAACAGCACGTTTTAATACTACTAATAATACTACTACTCATACTACTACTCATACTACTCATACTACTATCATACTACTACTTCTACTACTATTAATACTACTAATAATAGTAATATCTTTATAAATATGAATGAAAAACAAACAATATTGAATAATAATACTAAATTAAAAATGAATATGGATTTGTTATCAACATTACCAGTATCAAATCAATCATTAACGGTACAATCTCCATATCGATTATACAATTCTGTAGGTAATTTTAATTCAAGTAAGTTAAAACTACATGATGAATATCAAATGGTTATTTTGATTTTTGGATAGTTTTTTTTTTTTTTGAAATGTTAATATCATGGTTTATAAGTAAAGATGAATAGTGATTAGTAATGGAATATAGGACCCGAGCGTTTCGTCCTATATTGAACTCGTCAGATGGACATCCAAGTGGATGTTTACTTTGGGACACTAACACAGTACCGTTCACTTCAAATGTCATCGCATTATCATTTTAGCTACTGAGTTCTGATAGCCATTAGCTTGTGTGATGGGAGTAAAGTTTTAAATTCACTTGATATTGTTTATTTGATTCATTCCATTGATAAATAGGATTGCAATTGATTAATTCAAGGATGCAGATATATTCAGTTGACTAGTGACAATTCGGAAGAAACGAGCATCATGGATTCCACTATCAGTCACTATCTATCTTTTCTGATCATGCTTGTGAATTAAAGTAATATCAAGGTAGTCCGTACAGGATGGACACATCCTAATATGAGATTGATCAATTGCAGTGCTAATTACCAATGGGAAGTTTCAAGTAAACAATACCAAGTGAATTTAATATCATAATTTCTTCGTTAGATTCATTGCAAAGTAGAGAGAACTAGGCAAATTTCCCTTTTCAGATTGGCAGAACTTTTTACTTGCCTGAGTAACTTTTAACAGGCCATATACTGCTGAAAAGCTACACAGATGCTTTACTATATCAATATCGTAGATGATGAATATAAGTATGAGTATACAATGAGTAATAGAAATTATTCAGTTAGTCAAAGTTACACCTTCCGCGTTATTGGCTCTACTGTCAAATACATAAACATATATCAGTCAGTCAGTCAGTCAGCTGCAACGTAGGACCAGGCACGTATATGCATCGGTCCAAGTTGCCATATCGCATTAGCACAACAAGATGAACACTGGATTCATAGGAGTAGTTAATTCAGTGGTGGTAATATATAGAAGAAAGATTGTGTATAAGGAGATAGTAAAGGAAGAAAGAATTAGTTCCTAGACAGATATGAAGCGATTTTAATCTCTTAATTTAAGGAAGACAGAGAGTGTATACACCGACGCCATTGTGATCGATTCTGAGCCATGTCACCAAGAGTCTCCAACCATTGGTTACGATAGTCACGCGGACCCCAACCAGGCAGTCTGTATCTGCCAACATGGCTCAGACTAGAAGTTAGTGACTTCAAGCATTGATGACACGTTTTGGTTTGGCCTCCCCTAACTTTCTTCCAATTATCCCCTGCACTAGTCAGCATTGCGCGTCGTGGTAATCGGTGTTCAGGCATACGCAACACGTGGCCCAACCATCTCAGTCGATGAAGATTCATAACCTCATCAACTGATTTACCATCATTCCATAATACCCTGCGTCTAACCTCACTATTACTTACCCGGTGATCCCAGCAGATACCCGCAATATTTCTAAGGTACCTGTGGTTAAATACTAGTAACTTACGAATATCTTCCACTCTTAAAGGCCATGTTTCGCAGCCGTATAGAAGGACGGAACGAACTGCCGCGCAGTATACTCGTCCCTTAATTGATAGACGGATATCTCGCCTTCGCCATAGATGACGTAAGTTGGCAAAGGCCAAGCGAGCTTTTCGAATCCGTGCTGAGATTTCGTGTTTAGAAGTCGTCTATCTCAAAACCAAATCACGTTTGTCTTCATTCATGGACATAAACATATATATCCATGAATGAAGACAAACGTGATTTGGTTTTGAGATAGACGACTTCTAAACACCTTTAGTTTGTTACTCTATTAATACCTGGTTGATATATCGATGAGACTATAATTGATGAACAAACTTTCGGTGACGCTAAAGTGATGGACTAGCATTTCGCCCTAATTAGGACTTGTCAACTGGATGTGTTTAAATCTCAGAGCTGATGTCCACTCTTCAACTTGAACCCAATATTGTTCACTTCAAACGCCATCATGTTATCTTCACTTAGCTACTGAGTCAAGATAGTTACTTGTTTGTGCAATACAGTAAAGTTTTAAATTCACTTGATATTGTTTACTTCAATCTTCTCATTGATGTTTAGAACTACAATTGATCAATCTCTTATTGACAGATGTGCATCCTCTGCATATTGCCTCAATATTAATTACCTTAAACCACAAGCATATAAATGCAAAAACGAATAGTGAGATTCAGTTTGACGCGCATTTCGTCTTATTCGGGATTCGTCAGCTGGATCTACCTTGCAGTGTCTGTTATTATGTTAAGCCCAAATACCTTATTCTAACTTCCAGACAGCCCATTCTATTCATTCTACTTGAGTCTCATTCTAACCTTGTTAATTATTCGCTTATCAATCTTGACTGTTTTTATATCCTATTCATCACATGTCTGTCATTTATTTTTGTGTGCTTATAAATATTGATTAACGCTTGTTTAAAGGGGAGTTGGCTTAACAGCCATCTCCACCGCGCCTCAATTTAGCTTCGCTTTCTTCTCTTTGCATCGTTTTCCCGTTCGTTTGTCTGGATCAACGATTATACAAAATATATGTATTCAAAACACCATTCTCGTTATTTGACTTATTTAATTCCGTTATTGACTAACGCAATTTAAGTCAATGATAATATCATTCATACGATCTATTTGGAGTCAGATCATGGGCCATTAAAGTGAAAAGCCCTTCAACAACATCGTACGATCTAAATGACGATAAAATAAACGGGCCCCACAAAAAGTGGTGAATCCGTCACCGCAGACGAACTCAACGGGCTCCACAACCTGAATGTCAGTATTACTGTTGATAATGTTAATAATATTAATGAACCATTAACTTATTCCATTAACATCTATATATTAATCATCATTCATTATCTTTTGTATTTTCTCTATTTCTATTCAAAGAACAAGCACCAGCACCAGCACCAGCACCAGCACCACCACTAGCACCATCAACACTAACACCAACACCAACACCAACAACAGAACCTATTCAAGATTTATTTTCTGATCATTTCAGTGATCTATCTAAAAATAATCTATCATATGATCCACCCATTGAATCAGATCCATTATTAATTTCAATTGATTTATTGAATTTATATAAATCAGATTTAGAATTAATTATTAATGAATTACGTTTTATAACAAAAAAATTACGGGATAATGAAAAAGAATCATTAATTAGTTTAGAATGGAAATTTGCTGCACGAGTTATTGATCGATTTTGTTTAGTAATATTTAGTGTATGTAATATTGTTGTTACATTTGCTATATTATGCTCTGCACCAAATTTAATTGCTTCATTTATGCCATAATAACTTTGTTTTTTTTTGTGGTGGGGGTGGGGGTGGGCTGATGGGGGTGGGGATGGGCTGATGGGGTGGTGATCGGATAGGATGGGATGGGATGATCAAATTGTTTATGTTACCAAGTGCTGATATGAATAGTTTCTTCAACAAAAAAAATTGTTTTTTTTCTTTCTTTTTTTTCTCCTTATTTTGTATTTTTAAAAAAACCCCACCAAAATAGCCTTAATTAGAATGTTGAAATAAACAAATACAATTATCTGATAAATGTTCAATGAACATTATCCGGTTATGATAAACCTTAAATTTGTTATTTAATATGTATGTTGAAGAAAAGCAAGAGAAAGAGTGAGAGAGAGAGAGAGAGTGAGTGAGAGAAAGATTAAGATCATGAATTGATTACTTGGAAACAGTATTGGATCGATTTATAATCTTAATCAATAATCATTATAACTTTCTATAGAAAAGAAAAATGATTTCATTTAATCATTTAATCATTTTGAGATAATTGTCTTATTAAAATAAACTGATCTAGTTATATAAAATTAAAAAAAAATATAATATTGATTAGATATTTCCGATTTTTTTCAATTTTTTATTGTTTCTCCATTAAATAAATATGTAATTGATCATGATGAATTATTCAGTTGCTATGGTTACAATGAAAAACGTTTAGAATTTTTAGTAATTTTTTCTTCTGTTTTTTTTGGTTGTTGATATAAATTGTCTTTTTATTTATAATATGTAGATATTGTAAACTTGAATTCAGATATTGATTATTCAATATGTGAATTAATGTATTGACTGCTATTCTACCCCCTCCCCCTCTCTATCTCTTTCGTACATGCACACACACACACACACACACACACTTTATCTTTGTCTTTTTAACGATAATGTACTTATTTAGATTTGAGTTTTTTTTGTTTAGGAAATTATAAACAAAAAAAAAGAGAATAATTTCGTGATATTCATTTAATCAATTGTCTTCTTTTATAATGATATTGAGATCTTTGAGATAAATGGTTAAATTATAGAGTTTTCATGATCATTCTGTACATCATCAGTGCTTATTTCATGTAGAGTTTAGTAGCCTGTTGTGTTCGCTTGTGGTGGCGGGATCACCATTTTAGTGGCCCGTGATCTGTCTCCAATTTGATCGTGAAATGATTGGTTGCTATCGTCTATCCTCGTATATAATCATTGACTTAAATCACGTTAGTTAATATTCATAACGGAATTAAATAAGTCAAATAACGAGAATGGAGTCTTGAATGCATATATTTCGTATAATTGTTCATTAGACAAACGAACGGAGGAACGATGCGAAGATTAGAAAGCGAAGCTAAATTGCCGCGCGGTGGAGATGGTGGGTAAGCCAACTCTCCCTTTAACAAAGAGTTAATCAATATTTATAAGCCCACAAAAATAAATTACAGACATGTGATGAGTAACGGGATAAGAAGTGTGCATACGCCTACGCGCTCATACAAAGACAGTCAAGACATTGATAAGCGAATAATTAACAAGATCAGAATGTGACTCAAATAGAATGAATAGAATGGGCTGTCCGAAAGTTAGAATAATGAGGTATTTGGGCTTAACATAATGACAGACACTACAAGAGATAAGCTTTATAGTGATTTCGCAAATGTTATGTTGGATCATTTACATGATCTTGTTCGTGATAGGTTACATCATCTTTATTTGGGTTTGAATTCACGCTGATCATCTTTGTTCGTTGACCTTTGACCTTGTGAATGATTGATCTCTTCTACATAGATTCATAGTTTAGATCATATCAACTATCAAGATAAATCTCAGAGTTATTTCCAATTCAGAGACCGTCATTCGAAATACCATCTATTTCATCATAAAGACTAATGAGTTATGATCTCCATCAATTATTCTATAGGTTTAACACAGTTTTATTATGGTTATTTAAACATTCTCATCATTAATATTCTATTTCGAATTCTAAAGAAGAATATCTAGGCCCTTTGTGAATTAAGAGGATACATCGAGAGATGTGTAGGATTGTAACAACTAAAAAGCAATCATTCATTGTATGAAACTTTCAATGTGATTATCAATACTGAAATCCAAGCATATCCCCTCAATAAATCAGTCACTAAAAACAAGACGAATTGCGTAACATAAAATTCATTGTTATTCGTCAATAATATTGTGAGTTTCTATTATGTTCAAAACTGCCGTTTCGTCCTGCTGAAGAGTCCCATACTAGGACGAAACGCCCGTTCACTGCTTCCAGGTTTTCCATGATAGTCTAGCTTCAATTGACCAGTGATTTCAACTATTGAAGATTATAACATTGAAGTAACATTCATTTTGAATTATTCACTGTGTTCTAAATTATTATTTCAAACTTAAAACGGTAACAGGAGCTACGAGATTATAATTTATAGACAAACTAGTCCCATTCAAGATATCAGGTCTTTGATTCTAGCGCGAAATTCATTGACATTATAACTGATGTCATTTCATGATAAAAAAAAACCCTAAATCTAATTTCTAACCTTAACCATCAAATGTAATTTGCAATCCTTATTCTTCATAATAGTTTATAATCTTCATTCAAACTTACTAAGTAGATGAACATTCCGAGGTCATTTAGAGTTCTTGAACGTCATCCATCTAATGAGTCTTCATCTGGTACATGTGCCAACTTATCTGATCGCTAGAAGGTATGAGTTAGAATTTGAAGCAATAAGCACTAGATTCTGGTTTCATTTCAAATATCAATGTTTAGAAGAAAGTACATTGAATTGACGAATTTCAAATAAAGTGAAATATATGTCCAACGATCAATTCTTTTTACATAGCTTGATTGTGTTCCAAATTATTTGTACCAAATCAATGCAGTTCGGAAGATCTAGAACAATCTTTGAAAAAATGCCGAAAAGGCTCTGAAAACATTGAGAAGCATCTTTTCTAATTACCATTCAATAGAAGTTTGGCCAGAAACAACTAGAAAGTGAAAAACCACATGTCACATTTCTGTGTTTGTCAGCCTTCCAGAAATTTCCGGAAACCCAAAACCATCCAAAATACTATAAATACCCCACATTTTCTGTGCATAAGCGAACCTTTGGAGTAAAACCTTTCTTCTATATCTCGCGCCTTTTCTGTCGTGTTCAGGTCATTGTGTAGATTTAGCCTGTCGGTTACCAAAAGAACTTAGGAACCGAATCTAGCGTTCAATTAAATGACTTATCAAGTGCTTTCGTAAAATCTTCAAAACTATCTCACAAGACAGTTCAGTTCTATTCCTAGGCAACCTAAATTGATCATCCGTGGCATTTCTACCTTTTAATTATTTAAGAAATGATATAGAACAAAAAGAGTTACTTCAAATTCATTCGCTAAAATTTTACAAGTGCATCCTTCCACTTTCATGTCTCACATCAACACGACTCCCAAATACTGTGAAACTATTCGATTAAATTCAGACGACATTTCTTATATTTAATAGGTTTCTCTCTTTTAGTAAATTCATTCTAATATGGGACTCCTCAATAGTGCACTTCCATAGTTCTGCACGTTGGATTCGAACTCAGGACCTTCAATCTCTCACACGAATGCTTAACCTGTAGACCACTGAACTGGTCGGCATTCAACGGTGCTATTGTATAACTTCAATCAACTCACAATATTGCGCCACCGTCCATACCAGGACGAAACAGCTGTCCAATGCATTCAACTCAGCTTCCAAATATTATGAAAGTATTCGATCAAATTTAGACAAAAAAAAGAAGATCAATTTAAATAGTAACATCATTATATGTAATTCAGTTACGTCATATAACTTTACATGTATTAAATATTAACAATTAAAAATGTAATCATTTTGTATAATGAAATGAATGGGAAAAAAACAAAAGTAATTTCCAATTGTAAACATTAAAATCCCCTAGTAACATATACACACAGAGAGACAAAGAGTGAGAGAGAGAGAGAGAAAGAGAAAGAGAGAAAGAAAAGGATACCAGCAGTAGCTTATTTTCTTAGAATAATCCATAAACAGTGTAAAAATTGAAAAACTGAACAAAATGTTGGGTACTCAACATAAGTTATCATACGCATACCTGTATACATACATACACACATACATACATACATACATACACGCACACACTTACAACATAACACGTACACACATATACATACTTACATGCATACATACATACTTACCTACCTACCTACCTACCTACCTACATACATACATACATACATACATACACACATACTTACATACATACATACTTACTTACTTACTTACATACACATATATATACTAACGTACTACGCACATACACATACACACATACTTACATAAAAACATGCATACTTACATACACACATATATACTAACGTACTTACATACACACACATCCATACCTACATACCTACATACATACATGCACACCTATTACATTGGTTGTGATGGTGCACCTCTTGATGTGAATGCTTTAATAACAGTTGGTGCTGATGTTAATATACCTAATGTAGTAAATAAATTTAATGCAGTAAATATTAATAAACATAAACGATCTAATACACGACATGCTAAACGCCATTCATTAGATGTTTTTATTTCTTTATCTTTATTATGCATATCCGATGTAATAAAACGTAATTCATTAGAGATTTGTTTTAATTTTAATAGAATTATGTCAAAATTCATAGAATCATTATTATTATTATTATTATTATTATTATTGTTCTGTTTATTCAATGGACTAGAACTATTTGGATCAGTAATTCTATTTGGGGATGAAAATATTGTATCTTTATTTGTTGTTGTTGATGATGATGATGGTGATGATGGTGATGACGACGGCGGCGGCGGCGGCGGCGACGACGATGCTGGTAGTCGTGGTGGTGGTGGTGATGAAGATAATGATGAATCTTGTGGAGATTCATTAGATGATGATAAATGAAATCTTGGAATTGTTTTATTGATATATTCTGAAAAAAAAAAGATCAATATTATGAAATTGGTTTAATTTATATTATATAAAAGAATAAGACATTTAAACCACTTATATTCAATTCATATACTTGGTATTGTTGTTTGATTTGAATCTTTCCAACTCTTGTTTAGGATTGCAATTGATCAGTCTCTTTTATTGGCATCCTATGTGGATAGTCTCCATAGTGCCTTAGGTCACAACCATTATGAATAAAAGATGGATACTATCGAACAGTGGAATTCAGTTTGATGCGTGGTTTGTCCGATTTTGAACTCGTTAGTTGGATGTACCTGCATCCTTGAGTTGATCAATTACAGTCTCAAATATCAATGGGAAGATTCAAGTAAACAATTTAAACTTCACCGTATTTCACAAGCAAGTGGCTATCATGACTCATTAGCTAACTGAATAACGTAATGGCGTTTAATAGGTTCGAGTCCCAGAGTGAGTATCAACTCTATGATGCAAGTGCATCCAGTTGATGAGTACCAAATAGGATGAAACATGCCTCTTGGTCACTATCCATCTTACCTCATATAGAATAATCTTGTAAGTCATTAATCCGTTTAAAGGTAATCAGAAAATAGGACAATAGGTTTCTTTAATCGTTAATTGAATTTGATGAATATTAAAGCATTAAACAAACATGATATTAGTTAATATTCAGTGATTAATCAATTGTAAATATCCGAGTCTTATAAGAAATTACACATGATCTTAGCTCAGAGAGCCGAGAAGCGAGGGGTACCTAGCCTGTCATATGCCCTGATGGTGTTCTCGTAACTTTCGAGTTGCCTGATCTGCCAAGGGCGATGAGACAGTGCATGATGCTATTGTTGTGTGCTAGGTTCAAAGAGAATTGTGTGCTATATGCATGCAAATCCGCCCCGTTATTGTTCCTGCCCCCAAATGCCCTGGTACGGCCGAGAGTGGGGAGAGTCCGCTCTCCATCTCGAAATACTCTCACTTGGCCATGCGTATATAGCCTCTACCAGGGAAGTCCTACTCACTGCCTTCTCGCACCACGGGTGTTGTTTACGAAAATGAGAGAACGACAAGCGAATGTCCGGTGCTCTAACCGGATCCCAAACCAGTGGTTCACATGGGCTGGCTCCAGGATCCTGAGGGAACAAATGGCGTATGAACCAATCGTTGGTCACCGGCTACCATGGGACTGCATCTCCTTATGATGCTCCACTGCCTTGTGGATCAAACGTTCAGGTCGAAGGCTCCGGGTGTGGTCCCCTAAGAAAACCACCTGCTTCAGTTTGGGCACCTGAGCAGTATCACAGCCCTCACACATATCCAATGAGATTTGTGTGGCGCATATGTATTTGGTACCTCCTTGTACCAATATCTATGTGTTAAAATAAATAAAATAAATAAGTCTTATAATAAGATATTCATAATTGAATTGGATCAGTTTGAATGTTCTATACTATGAAACTAGATGATATCGATCAAAATTATACACAGAAAACTATCACTTCCATTAAGAATCCAAATAGACTTTATAGATAAGTATAAACTAATTAGAAATCAATTTTAAGGAGATTTTAATTATCCAACTAACTCTATTCACCTAACACTAATAGATAATGGATATGATGTTGAATTTAGCTTTACCACTCGAAAGGTTCTCACATGACCATGAGTATACAACCACTTCAAGAGAAGTCTTACTCACTGCCTTCGCTGTGCAGAAGTGTTTGTTACGAAATTGAAATGACAACAACCGAATGTTCGGTGCTTTAACCGGGTTAATTAATATGGAGGATCACCTAGAAAAGTTGGAAAACTCTCATTCCAAACCAATGGTACATATGGGCTCCATGATCCTAAGGAAACAAATGGTGTATGAACCAATTGTTGAGCATCAACTACCATGGGACTGCATCTCTTGACGTTGCTCCACTACCTTATGGATTAGATCTTTAGATCAAATGCTCAGGGTATGGCCTCCTATGAGGACCATCTGCTTCGGTTTGAACACTCGGACAGTATACTAGTAGTCACAGAAATCAAATGACTTGTGTGTAGCATATCTGTTTGATGCCTTCTCGTATCAATGTTTATTTGATTAAATAAAGAAATAAAATTTAATAGTTAAATACTTTTGAAACTATATTTATCACTATAAACACCGAAGTCATTGAAATGTGATATCTTTAACAAAAATTTACTTCAGTAATTATGTTTCATTTATAGTACTTGCTATCACTAATATACTAGTATTATATTCAAAGCATTATTCCATTGTGATGATACAAATAAATGAAGAATGCTTAAGGTAGTGGGTGAAGATAGTAAATTGGTTTAATGGAACATTTAGTCGGTTGAGATAACTGGGACATGTGCCATGAATATCTAATTAACACTTTCTTTTAGGCAATATGATTGTTGAAGTAATGATAAGTTGAAAGAAACCTCACAGTGAGTAGAGTAAGACGCACTATTAGTGCATGAAGTCACTAAAGTCACGACATACACCGAACAGATCACACTTGACCGAGAAGATTTGGAAGATGTAAAAAACTTTACATAAATGGGCAGTATTATTGATGAACACGGTGGATGTGATGCACATGTGAAGGCGTGCATCGGCAAAACAAGAGCAGCATATTTACAACTGAAGAACATCTGGAACTCAAAACAATTGGCAACCAACACTAAAGTCAGAATTTTCAAAACAAATATCAAGACAGTTCTACTGTATGGGGTGGAAACTTGGAGAACTACAGAAGCCATCATCCAGAAGATAAAAGTGTTTATTAACAGTTGTCTACGCAAAATACTTCGGATCTGTTGGTCAGACACTATCAGCAACAATCTACTGAGGGAGAGAACAAACCAGACCCCAGCAGAGAAGGAAATCAGGAAGAAGTGGATGAGACACACATTGAAGAAGTGACTCAACTGTGTCAAAAGGCAAGCCTTCACTTGGAATCTTCAAAGCCAAAGGAGGAGAGGAATACCAAAGAATACACTGCACCGAGAAATCAAGACAGACATGAGAAGAATGAAGAAACGTTGGATAGAACTAGAAAGGAAGCCTCAGGACAGAGTGAGTTGAAGAATAGTTGTCGGCGGCCTATACTCTATCGGGGGTATTAGACATAAGTAGTAAGTAACTAAGTAAGTAATTTATTCCCCTTTTTACTACTGAACTGATTAAAAACAGCCATTTGAAAAAATGTTCATTAATACTAGATCATAAGCTGTACACAATTGTCTTACTAATTTACTTTCTGAATCAAACAATCAATGAATGAATAGGTTAAAACATTCCACAAAGAAAAACAAAGCACCATACTACTTACTTGACTTTTCAATTAAATTTCTTTTGCATGTATATTGTAATCGACTAGTTGTACTTATTCGACCATTCCCTTTGTCTTCTTGTGTAGTAGTATAATAAGACATATTATTCAATGGTTTACCTGATAAATCTGTTGATAATCGTTGTTGATCAGGATCATAATCGTGATCAGGATCATCATGATCAATGAAATAATTTTGTTGAATGATACTTTGTAATTCAGATTTCAATTTGAATTGATTGATTAATAAAGATTTTCTCATATTACTATTACGAGTATGATCATGTTTTAATGGTTTATGAATAACAATTGCTGGACGAAATTCCGAATTCATATCAATGATATTTGACCAAACTGTAGCATGTTTTGCATTATCATTATTACTATTACCATTACCATTACCATTATTAGTATGATATGAATGATTAAGGTGTATATAATGATTCATTTTATCATAATCATATTGATCCATTTGAAATGAATTTTCACTAGGTATTAATTTTTCTTTAGAATTTTTTAAATTTTGTTCCGTTTTATTATTATCACCATGGTGATTATTATTATTATTATTATTATTATTATTATTATTATTATTATTATTATTATTATTGTAAGGATCAGATAGATCATGATCAATTCTTAGAACACTTGCTAACCATGTATTAATTAATGTTTCAATCTGTATTAATAATAATGAAGATAAGAAGAAAATAAATCTTTTTAATGAAAAGAGATCAATATTTCATACTTCTCCACCACCACCACAACCACCACCACCACCAACACCACCACCATCATCATCATCATCATCACTGAATGAACTATTTCTATGAATTTGGTATTTATGTTGTTGTGTTAATGAGGTATGGCAACTTGAACTGACGCATATATGTGCCATGTCCTAAGTTGTAGCTGATTAACCGACTGACAGTCATCTCATAATGTTATGTTTGTAGATATAGTCACCCCTTTCATTGCATCTCTACTCTACTGAGTTCGGTGAGTGTCTTTATGACCTATAGGAGTCACGAATTAACTGGGAATATTTCAACTAACCTTCCTGCCTTAGTTTTGCTTAGACTGAATGATTATCAATGCAAATTGTATGTGTTCATAAGCTATTATGGAATGCTTAAAAATTATTAAAATGCTAAAAACTAGAAAACTTAAAATCAGACATCCACAACAACAAAAATAAATTTTAATGAAAAGTGACCAATATTTCATATCCTTTTCTTACTGGACGGCCGTTTCGTCTTATTGTGGGACTACCTCAGCAGTGCACATCCACGATCCCACCTCTCGAGTTTCGAACCCAGGACTTATCGATCTTCTGCGTGAACACTTAATCTCTAGATCACTGAGTTAACCGGCATCCAACCATGGTAATGTCTAACTTCAACAAATCCACAAAATTGAGTGACACATCTACCATTGTCTTCAATGAGTTACTATCTCACAATAGACCCGGTTGAACTCCACTAGTCAGTGCTTCACACTAGAACTCCAGGAAATACCTCTTGAAGTTAGTTACGAGTGAGTATATGTTGATTAATATCAGAAAATAGGTTTTGTGGATATTATAGAAACTTTGGTAGTTCAGATCATGAGTCAATTGAAGTTAGACCACCATAGAAATCAATTGATTAGGTTACAAACAATGGTAGTTGAGAGGTATATTAATTGGGAAATGAATTATTTTTAGTAAAATTTGACTTGAATCAACTAAAGAATGGATTATATAATAATTATCATCTTAAATTGTCCTTAACTGTATGTGAATTGTTGAAATAGTGAGTTTAGAAACTCACATATTCAATGGTTAATACTCACATTCACAAGTATCCACAGTTTTATCACTGTGTGTGTGTGTGTGCACGCGCGCGTTGAAACAAGAAGTAAACTGGTTACTTTTCATCAGTTAAAGACTAGACCTTCACTTTTTATATAGAGCGCTTAACCATTGAACTACAACGCTTGTGCATGATGGTAAACCTTTCTAAAATTGATGTACACGCAACAAAGTGATGTGATCATCCAATGAAATTAGTGACTATAATTTCAATCTCAACATGGTTGAACTTCATTGATCATTTCCTACCCCTGAAACTTCCGGAACTCCTCTCGAACTCGTTAATGAACATTACTACAATATTAATAAAGAGACCTAAAAAATGATTATTTTGATGCTTATCTTAGGAGACCTGGCGGTCCTGGTTTCAATGTAAGGTGCGGTCGTGGATGCTTACTGATAGGGAAGTTCTACGCTATCTGGAACGAGCTGTACAGTTCTCTTAAATTTCCATTAAGTAACAAGGATAAGTGAATCCACATTGATAAAATCCAATCCGTTGTGCATAATGTAGAGCCTGACACTAGATTAGCGCACAGAGATAAAATTATCATCACATATCCAAGAGCAGTAAACATAGTTGCAGTATCATTATTAGTAATAATCGTAGTATGGTCAGCACAAAATATTAAGAATGTCAGAGAAATAAAAGATATGAGGAGATTTCGCGACTCAGGTTCTAAGAGAAGAACAAATTGTGAGTAGATCTATGCTATTAAGAATGATTCTGAGCCATATATTCAAACATTACTGACGATAATCACGCGGACCTCGACCAGGCAGTTTTCACATTTCATAACGGTTAAGTTTAATTGTAAATGACTTTATAGACCGTCGACACATTTTGGTTCGGCCATTTCTAGCTTTCTTCCAGCCTACTCCTATATTAAACACTATTGTCTGTCGAGATAGGCAGTGGTTGGGAATATGTCATCTTTGTCCTAACCACTTCAATTAATGAGCATTTCTTACCTAAGACATCAACAAATTACCCATCTTTAAAAATAGTAGCTAATGCGTTACATAATCAGAGGTTATTAAGACATATTTTATAACGAATTATTGAAGAATCCGAAAATTTCATAAACTTACCCACCATGGTACATAAACAATACCTCCTGTATGATGATGACAATTTAGTAAAACCACAGCGCATACCAATGAAAGGGAACAAAGGATCATTGTGCATGTGAAATATAAGACTATTGACAATTGAACAGTTTGAATGATGTGGAATAAAAGATAAAACAAAATAAGAATATTTGAAAGACAATATTAAACTCCTTTAGATTAATATGATAATACATTTGTATTGTTTGTTCAGATCTTCCTATTGATGTTTAGAACTGTAATTGATCAGTCTCTTGCTCGCATATGCGCATCTTGTACGGATTGCCATGATATTGCCTTAAGTCACAAGCATTGTAAGGAAAGATGAATCGTGACTGACGGTGAAATTCTGAACGTACATTTCGTCCTGTTTGGCACTCGTCAACTGGATGTGTTTAAATCTGAGAGTTGATGTCCACTCTGCAAGTTGAACGCAATATTGTCCATTTCAAACGCCATCAAGTTATCCACCTAGCTAATGAGTTCTGATAGCCAACAGGTTCGAGTCTTGTAGTGAACATCAACTCTGAATTGCAGGTACATCCGGCTGACGAGTCCTAAATCGAACAGGACACGAGTCCTGGACTTCATTGATAGCCAATATCTATATTTGCTTATAGTTAATATGATTTTTATTTTGAATTGTCACTAGCCTCATGTGGTTGTTATCATAATACATATATGGTTTGTTTAATAAGTGTACGAACTAATTTACTAAGATTTTTAACTATGAATATAATCAAATAGATGACTAACAATATTTTACTTGAATCTTCATCATCTGAATGGTTCAAACCCTAACGGTGTCTTGAATGAATACTACTGAGCAACTTCACATTTCGATGACCATTCAGATCCAGAAAGTTTGTAGCGTTCAATTCTTAACCCTGAGCAAATTTTTTGTTGATGTTAAGTGACTACATTCGGATTGCAAGAAGATACTGAAGTCTAAGTTTGTTGAATGCTGGTCTCATCAACAAAGGCTATTTGTATTTCCTGAGGCCGTACCATTCAGTATCATAGTGATGGATATTATAAATGAACAACTGAGGCTACGAAAAATCTCATTTTGAATTGACATTACCAAGATTAATCTATCACGAGGTCTTAACTTATCTCACTTCAATGGTACTTTAATCAAATCTTGTTTCTCAGCTAAGAAAATCAATAGTTTTGAAATATACTCACAATTTCACTTGGTATTATTTGTTTCAATCTTCCCATTGATGTTAAGGACTGTAATTGATCAGTCTCTTATTGGCATATGTGCATCCTGTACGAATTGTCTCGATATTCCCTTAATTTCAATGGTTAAGATCATGAGTCAGTTGAAGCTAGACCACCATGGAAAACCTGGAAGCACTGCACGGCCGTTTCGTCGTATTGTGGGACTCCTTAGCAGTGCGCATCCACGACCTTGCCCCCTGCGAGATTCGAACCCAGGACCTACTGGTTTCGCTTAATTCACAAGCATTCTAATCAAAGATGGATAGTGGCTAGCAGTGGAATCCAAGACGCGCGTTCCACTGTTAGCCACTATCCATCTTTGCATATGCTCACAATTGTTATGGTATAAATTGTCTTGAATTAATTATAATTATTATATAAATTATTAAATGGTCATAGAAACTAACCAAGTACAGGATTTCCTGATGATGTTTGTGGCAGTTTATCAGCTACTAATTGTAATAACATTGTCAATGAAAGTAAAGTGGTAACACCTGTTGGAAAATAAAATAAAAACTTAGGAACAGATCAAACTTGACGGATAGACATCGTAGATAAAAACTATAACAAAAACAAAATGATGTAAGATTACTTATAATTGTTGGGATTTTTCAATTTTGAATATTCAAGACATAGAATGAATCAATAAAGATGACGATCAGAGAAGGACTTTTGTGGATAGTATGGTAATTTAATAGTTGAATTCATAAGTCAATTGAAGCTAGACTATCATGGAAAACCTGGAAGTACTGGACGATTGTTTCGTCCTAGCATGGGACTCCTCAGCAGTGCACATTCACGATCCCTCCCCTCGCGAGATTCGAACCCAGGACCTATCAGTCCTATGCACATGTAATTATCGTTTTCATTTCAACGGAAACAGAAGAGAAAGATCTAAATTCAATAAAGTAGAAGTGATAGATAGACGGAGTCCATAGAATTTATATGGTATTTCAATATCATATGGAACTGACAAGTGCTAGCGTGAATAAGCTATTATGAGCACATAAATTATTCACACAGTCAATATCACCATTCATCTGTCTTTGCATAATCATGTCAGTATCATGTATGTATACGTATAGATTGCATAAATAATCTTTCGGCCTTCATCAAAAAGCTTAGTACATATTCTTGGTCTTCTTACTTTCATAGCTAGCTAAGTCAAGCATTGGAAAGCGTGAGATTGTGACTGAATCAGAAGGGTAAACTATAACATCAATTCTTGGAAACTTTCTGAAGGAGATTTTGAGAAACGCCGTTCAATTACTATGACCTTTCACACAAGAGAATTAATTGATTGATTGATTGTATCAAGGGGATTTAAAAGATCTTCGTGACTGACTGTTTTGTCAAGCACGATTAACATGTTTAGTATGGGTTTGCGGGAATCATTATGTTTTTGATTGAGATCACAAATCGACTGGTGTTAGGCCGCCGTTGAAAACGTGAAAGCACTTGAAGGCCGTTTCGTCCTATTGTGGGATTTCTCAGCGGTGCGCATCAACGATTCTGCATCAGATCGATTTGAACCCTGGACCTTCGGTCTATCGTGCGAACACTTGACCTCTAGACCATTGAGCTGCGATCCAACGGTGTTAATGTCTAACTTCAACCAATCCACAAAATTGCGCAACCATCTTCTGTTATACTTAGGTAGATACCTGTTTCTATTTGACATGGATTAGCTCCAATGGTCACGGCTTCTCACTAAAATTCCAAGGATTCCCTCACGAAGCTAGTCACTTGTGAGCACATGGTAATTATCAGTACGGGGTTGTGGAGATTATTAATTTTTTGATTAAGATCATGAACAGATCGATGTTAGACCACCATTGAAAACCTGAAAGCACTGGACGGTCGAAGGTCCTGGGTTCGAATCCCGTGAGCGGGATCGTCGATGTTCACTGCTGAAGAATCCCACAATAGGACGAAACGGCCTTCGAGTGCTTCCAGGTTTTCAATGATGATCTAACATCAGTTGATTCATGATCTCAATCAAAAACGATTAACATTTGATAATATCTTCAATCTTATTTTGTTGTGTAATGGTTCATTCTTGTGAACATTCATCGTACCTACATAAAGTGGATATTCAATATTTAAACTGGCTGAATCAATGAAAAAGGGAGATAACCATTTTAATCAATGAAATACAAATAACAGAATGTTGTTACTTATCAATAGTATAGTTAGGTAATATTCCATCCATATCTGTATTGCCTATTTCTATCTTACCTAATACAATTTTCTCATTTGCTTCAGGTGGCAAAGTGAATACAAGTAATGCCATCATTGACATTATCATACATGGTATAATAATATTGAACATATAATATAATGCACGACGTTGCATATAAACATAAATGGTAACATCAATGTATGTTTGATCTTCACCACCATAAGTTTGTATATTACGTTTAATAGAAGCACCTAATCGGGGGGGGGGGGATTTTGTAATGAAAAACAAATGAATTTATGATAATCGAATAAAAATTCATTTTGTAAGTATATTACATAATGTAAATAATAAAACTTGGTTAGATTATGAACAATGACTAGTCGAGGAATGTTTATTAGGTCTTTCATACTTTTGGAGATAAGTCTTGATTAGTATAGAATAGATAGAATATGACTAGCTGTAATATTCAGGATGGATATTTCGGAAATTGTCAGCTAGAAATGATCAACAACGGGATATTCCAGAAAACTATATCAAATAGTGAATGAGGACTCAATTGGGGGAAACTAATTTATTTATTCATTGTAAAATTACAGAACGTCTCCGTACAGTATGAAAACTATACATTGAATACATCATCTGCTTCATTGTTCCTTCACTTCAGTTGTTATTACAAGTACTCTCCGTTCTTCTTCCTGTTCCCTAAAATTCAATCTTCTCAATCTTCTGCCTGTAGACATTCCACTTCTGACTAGTGTTGCATACTACTTATATTTGTTAACATAAGTAGCATATATATATATATAATGTATAATCAGTTAGATTTCTAGTATGTTACATGATTCAATGAACTAGGTTTCAATTAAACGATTGAGCACTGTATTTCTTAATTTCTAGTGTCAACTAATTAAAATGGATGAAAAAATTTGCCCACAAATGCCCTCATACGGCTGAGAGTGAGGAGAGCCAGCTCTCCCTCTCCAAATGCTCTCACATGGCCACGTGCATACACCCACTATCACGGAAGTCCTACTCACTACCTTCTCTCAATCAGGGTGTTGTTTACGAAATTGAGAAGACGAAAAGAGGATGTTCGGTGGTGGCTTTAACTTGGTTGATAGACAAGGAGTGTTCACTTAAGGGAGCTGAAAACCCTGATTCCAAATCAATAGTGCACATGGGCTTTAGGTCAGTGGCTACCATGAGATTGCATCTCCGAAAGTTGCTCCACTATTGTGTAGATCAGACCTTTAGGTTGAAGGCTCAGAGTGTGGCCCCCTAAGTAAATAAGTAACCTTAAATTCTATAATTCAGAAGTTTGATAAACCCAATTCATTATCATCGATAAAATGGATTTAATCATAATAGTTTACTTACTTTCTAATGCCCATTCACTATGAGCTAAATAAGTAGATAAATCAACATCATTCATATAATGACATGGTTGATCTACATCATCAGTTTCATTATCACATTGTAATTTTAAATCGACTGTATTTCCTTGATAAGTCCATGTTCCAAGTTTCATGATACAATTCTAAATAATTGATAACAGTCATGATGATAGTAACAATAATAATAATAATAATGAGAAATCATATTTCTTATGTAAGAATATGATACTCACAAATGTTATACTATAATTGAGTTTTGTTGAAGGGCTTTTTAGCTAGGTGTACCTATATATTCTAATGTTAATATTCACAATGAGACTCGAACCCAACGTCTTATCCACTTAACTAGTAAGTTCAGATAGCTAATACCATATTTCATAGGTATGATGCTTATTTGAATACTGTTATCCACATATACATCTGGTTAATAAGTCATAGATCGAACGAAATATCTGTCCTACATTCCAAAGCTAGTTACAATCTATATATTCTAAGAACTATTTTAAAATTTCCCTACTGAATACGAATTACTTACTTACTTACGCCTGTTACTCTTCGTGAAGGAGTATAGGTCGCTCACCAGCATTCTTCATCCAACCCTGTCCTGGGCAATCCTTTCAAGCTCTTTCCAGTTCTTATTCATCCTTTTCATATCTGCTTCTATTTCCTGACGTAATGTGTTCTTTGGCCTTCCTCTTTTCCGCTTCCCTTCAGGATTCCAAGTTAGCGCTTGTCTCGTCATGCAGTTTGATGATTTCCTCAATGTATGTCCTATCCATTTCCATCGTCTTTTTCTAATTTCCTCTTCCGCTGGAAGCTGGTTGGTTCTCTCCCACAAAAGGCTGTTGCTGATGGTATCCGGCCAATGGATGTTGAGTATCATGCGTAGACAGCTATTAATAAATACATGTACCTTCTTGATAGTAGTTGTTGTAGTTCTCCAAGTTTCAGCTCCGTACAGTAGAACTGCCTTGACGTTGGTATTGAAGATTCTGACTTTGATATTGGTTGAAAGTTGTTTTGAGTTCCATATGTTCTTCAGTTGAAGGAATGCCGCTCTAGCTTTGCCAATCCTCGCCTTGACGTCTGCATCTGAACCTCCTTGTTTATCGACGATGCTTCCCAGGTATGTGAAGGATTCCACGTCTTCCACAGTTTCGCCACCAAGAGTGATTGGATTGCTGTTCTCCGTGTTGTGTTTGAGGACCTTGGTTTTCCCTTTGACTGAATACGAATATCAACCGATAATCTTAGTGTTATGTTCTTATGCTCGACTAATTCATATCATGTGATACCGTTGCTAATTAGAGACACCCACCGATTTATACCATCAGACTAATGACACATAAATCTGTACGAGCAGTCTAGAGTTCTTATTGGCTCATTGAGACTAATAACTTCTCTCTTCTGATCTAGCCGGTTTAATCCAGAATACCAATAATCAGCTTCTGCCATACGAATCATAGATTTTAGACATACTGGGTTTATATATAAACAAACCAGACCATATTATACCATAAAATAGAAAATAATAATTATACAATATCAAGCCAAAAAAGTGGCTGTGATTGTGAGAGACTGTAACTAATAAATTGGGAATAACTAAAAAATAGTAAATCGTATAATCAGTAGTCAATAGGTCAAATGGAAGCTTATAATAAAAGGAATATAAATATACATATAACATAGTTACTTAATAGTTATCTAATAAGAATATATGTAATCATAGTTCATAAATAGGTCCTATCAAATTCACTTGATATTGTTTACTCGAAACTTCCCATTGATGTTTACAACTGCAATTGACCAGTCTCTTATTGGCATATATACATACTGTGTGTATTGACTCGATATTGCCTTAATTCATAAGTATTATAAGCAAAGACGAAACTCGCGTCCTCGATTCCACTTTTAAGCACTATACATCTTTGCTTATAGTTTACATCAGTTACCATTCATTTATACTTCGTTGGCTTTTACCAACTTATGTCACCTATGGCGGAGGCGAGATATCCATCTTTCAAATTAGGAACGAGCATACTGTGAGGCAGTTCGTTCTGCTCTACTTTACGGATGCGAAACATGGCCATTAAGAGTAGAAGATACTCGTAAGTTACTGGTATTTCACAACAGATGTCTTAGAAATATTGCTCACATCTGCTGGGATCACCGGGTAAGTAATAGTGAGGTTAGACGCAGGGTATTAGGGAATAATGGTAAATCAGTTGATGAGGTTGTGAATCTTCATCGACCGATATGGTTGGGTCACGTGTTACGTACATCTGGACAGTGATAACCATGACGCTCAATGCTGACTAGTGTAGGGAATGGTTGGGAAAAACTTAGGGATGGACAAACCGAAACGTGGCATCAGTCCACAAAGTCAGTAACTTCTAGTCTTAGTCATGTTGGTAGATGCAAATTACTTGATTTGGTTCCGCGTGACTATCGTAATCAATGGCCGGAGACTATTGGTGACATGGCTCAGAATCGATCACAATGATGTAGGTGCATACACTCTCTGTCTTCCTTTAAACTAAGAGATTAAAATCACTTCAAATCTTTCTACTAACTAATTCTTTCTACGTGTACTATCTTCTTATACGCAATCTTCCTTTTATATATTACCATCATTGAATTAGCTACTTCTTATGAATTCAGTCTTCATCATGTTGTGCTAATGAGGTATGGACCGATGCACATATGTGCCTACTCGTACGTTGTAGCTGACTGACTGACTGATAATGATGTTAGAAATACATGATAAAAACAGAAAATCTGAAATTTCTAAAAGTAATTTGTAAGAAAATGAATTTGTCTACATTTTGTGTGTGTGTGTGCATATGTGTGTGTGCGTGTGTGTGTGTGTGTAACTGTTAAACAGATAATCTAGTCCTAAATAGTTCACTACCATTTAACCTCATTTATGATTACTGTATCCTGAATAGTTCATAAATTACAGTTTAATTAATCATCAATGTCAAATATACTTATATGTGATGTATTATGGTCATCTAATTTGCTTATATAATAACCATGTTAGTTAATAGTTACATTGATATATATGACCATTTACTTGATTCACTAATGTTTGGATTTATGGTTTAGGAATGAAAGAATTTCATGTTACGAATATGGTGTCATAGTCAGTGGATTCAGTGTGATCGGTGAAGATTTTTGATGCCTGTTGAATAGTTTTCATATAATAAGGGATCCTACGATACATAATTGGACAGCTTAGAACCAATTAGACGATTTGAAATTCGTAGATAACCTAGCCTTCCTATCCCATAAACACGAACAAATGCAGAGAAAGCAGCAACCTCTGTATCAGTAGGTATTAACATATACATGGGAGAAAGCAAGATCTTCAAACAAAAACACGTAGAAGACCAAACCAATCATACTTGATGGAGAAACTCTGGAAGAGGTGGAATAATTTACGTATCTGGAAAGTATCATCGATGAACAAGGAGGATTCGATGCAGACGGAAAAGCGAGAATCGGCAAAGCAAGCACCTCATTCCTACAATCGAAGAATATATGAAACTCAAAACACCTATCAATCAATCAGTATCAAAGTCACAATCTTCAATACGAACACCAAGATAATGAATTCTACTGTACGGAGCTGAAACTTTGAGAATTACTACTACTACAACCATCATGAAGGTATTAGTATTTATAAATAGTTGTCTGCACAAGACACTCAACATCCATTGGCCGGATACAACCAGCAACAGCTGATTATAGGAGAAAACAAACTAACTTCCAGTTGAAGAGGAAATTACGAAAAGACATTAGAAGTGGATAGGATACACATTGAGGAAATCACCAAACTACATCACGAAACAAGCCCTAACTTGGAATCCTGTAGGGAAGAGGAAAAGAGAAAGACTAAAGAACACATTGCGTCGATAATTGGAAGAAAATATGAAAACGATGAATAAGAACTGGAAAGAGCTGGAAAGGATTCCTCAGGACGGGGTTGGATGGAGAGTGCTGGTGGTCGGCCTATACTTCTCTGTGAAGAGTAACAGGCGCAAGTAAGTAAGTAAGTAACGAAACACAATTTACTTACACTGATTGACTATTGAGTAGTGACCAATGTTATATTCATTTAGTCTTTAGAGGTGATCAAATTCTGCTTAACAAGTTGTAATGTCGCCATCATTCTAACTATCTTGTTATTATGTGAACTATAATTTGATGTTACAGTGTGATGGATAGTCACAGGGTAAATATGGACCTAGATTTTGTGCTGATTACCACTCACCAACATGTCATACTTGGAATCTTAATGGAACTGATCTTCTCTGTTATGCTAAAATCCACATAATCAAATTTCACACATCAAAACATTATCATCAATCTATTCACACTATCCAATGATAACATGTTAGGATATAAAGTTGGGTAATGTGGATGTCAATACAGAAGGGATCATTTTATATTTGACTTTCTTTTTCAATTTTATTCAACAAACAACTTTTTTATTTATTATTATGTTAACACATAGGTATTGGTACATGCAGGCACCAAATACATATGCGCCACACAAATCTCATTTGATATGTGTGAGGGCTGTGATACTGCCCGGGTGCCCAAACCGAAGCAGATGGTTTTCTTAGGGGCCACATTCGCTTTTCGTCCTCTCATTTTCGTAAACAACACCCCCGCCACGAGAAGGCAGTGAGTAGGACTTCCCTGGCAGGGGCTGTATACGCGTGGCCATGTGAGAGCATTTCGAGAGGAGGAGCGGACTCCCCCCACTCTCGGCCATACCAGGGCATTTGGGGGCCAACAAACAACTATTCTTTATTATTATGTATTGATATCACTGTTCAATTAAACACAGAGATCCATGAATAAATAAGACATTCGAATATAAATACTGTAGATTATATACTTGGTTCTACCATGCAACTAATGACAGTAAGATGAGATTGACCCTTGATTATGGACTGATAAACATTCAACCTATTACTTATTTAATATGAGATTTCTTTCCTATTATTATTGATTCGCATCCTTGAGTCAATGAGTGTAGATTACTTGTACGTTTCAATGTTGATCTAGCATTGATCGGTTCATGATTGTAGTAAGATCCAACAATCTCCACAACTTATAATGATGTTTACAACTGAACTGAATAAAGTATTATTTAGTCTATACTTTAGGTCTTTATTTTTGTTGACAAATCGTATATGTGATGTTAAAGTAGTCTCAGTTAGTGTATAGCATATTGATCGAGTATCTAGATTAATAGTATAGTCACTTATTATCATATTACAGTAGTATAACGTGACAAACACAAAAACAAACTTTTATTCTACTATTATTTAAGATTAGATGGTGGTTGGAGGTAGTCGACAGGAAACCCTGAACCCGGGTTTCATGCTACTTGGCATTCGGCACTAAGATGTACCTATAATCTTGAGGGAATTGGTACTCCCTGACGAATTCGATCCCGTGTCACCCAGCTTCACAGTTAGAGACGTTACCACTGAGTTATCCGGGTCGTGACCGATCTCTTGTGGCCACATTGCAACATGGTCGATAGAATTCGATCTGCACTAATAATAAGGACTAGACATGCATGACATTGGTCACCACCCAGTGATCAATCAATTGTGACTATTATCTAAGGTTTTAAGTAATATTAATTAGGTAACAACTAGCGATAATAGGTAACTGCATAAATCGAAGATTATGGAGCAGAATTCGAAGTTTTAATCGATTGATTCAGTGTGAAATGATCATAATAATAAACCATTGCTTTCTAGTAATTTCTGTAATGAACATAGTAACTAAACGGTTAATTCCTTAACTATGAATACATAAATGGACAAATACACATACACACACGCATACACATACACACACATATATATACATACATATACACATGGTTATAGTGATGACTAACCTGTGAATCAAATGGGAACCAATTCACTTCAATATCACATATAGAATGAAATAAACCAGGTGGTACCCATTGAATATTTCCAGTATTTCTAACAATTACTTTAGTTGGAAAAATTTGATCAAATTTTTCACTAGCACTAAAATAATTGATTATAAAAATGAATAGAATGATTAATTGTTAATGAAGATATTGATTTATTATGTAATGATATGTTAATTCATGTAAATCTACACCACTAAAGTGTATTGGTGTTATTATTATTATTATTATTTGAACACATAGATATTGGTACAAGGAGGCACCAAATACATATACGTCACACAAATCTCATTTGATTTGTGTGAGGACTGTGATACTGATCGGGTGCCCAAACCGAACCACGTGGTTTTCTTAGGGAGCCACACTCAGAGCCTTAGACCTTATGGTCTGATCCACGAGGCAGTGGAGCATCGTGAAGAGATGCAGTCCCGTGGTAGCCGGTGACCAACGACTGGTTCATGCGCCATTTGTTCCTTGTTATACTTGTGACCGCCGATTAGAGAGCAGTGACTTATCGATCGGATCAATGACGCGTAAAACACGTGCGAGCAGCCTAGAGTCCTGATTGGTCCCACTTCCTGTCTAGCCCAGCCAGTTAAGTCCAGAACACCAATCCGAGCCTCTGCAATATAAATCATGTATTTCAAACATACTGGGTTTATATACCAATCAAACAGGCCATGTTGTACCATAAAAGAGAAAATAATATTTCTACAAGATTTGACCAAATGTGGCTGTGAATGTGGAAGGTAGTGATTAGTAGACAGGGAATAATTCAAGAATGGTAAATCTTAGAATAACAGTTCGTAGATCAAAATAAAGTTCATAATAAGAGAGAAATGAATATGAATAGTTTAGTTAATTAACAATTATACGATAAAAAATATACATGTAGTATTGGTCCACAAATAGATCCCAAAAAATTACCACTCATTATTCTTATCGGGACACAACATTCCCTCAGAATACTGGAGCCTATGTGCACCATTGGTTTGAAATGATGGTTTTTCAACTCCCCTAGGTGGGCTCTCCATGTCCACCAGTCCGGTTAAAGAGCCGGATATTCGCTCTTTGTCCTCTCAATTTCGTAAACAACACCCCCACCACGAGAAGGCAGTGAGTAGGACTTCCATGGCAGAGGCTATATACGCGTGGCCATGTGAGAGAATTTCGAGAGTGAGAGCGAACTCTTCCCACTCTCGATTGTACCAGGGCGTTTGAGGGTATTGGACAGCTTTTCTAACTTTTCTAATGCCAATTTTTCGAGAGACACAGCTAAAGCATATGTTACACTATACTTAGTCTTTAGGTAGTTGAGTGTAATAACTTTCGCATTGTATTTGATGCTATTTAAGCAATAAATTTAGCTACATCTTGTTACATATATTATTGTTACATATCATCTCCTGTAAAACGATGCCACGTTTTTGGAGTAAGTACTGGCGTCTACAACAAAAAACATTATGGGACAGAGGTGAAACGTATTAGAAGTGAGCGCTTTAACCGGGTTAGTGGATATGGAGGATCCACCCGGAGAAGTTGGGAAACCCTCATTCCAAACCAATGGTGTACTTGAGCTTCAGGATCCTGAATGAACAAATGGCGTATGAACTAATCGTTGGTCACCGACTACCATGAGACTGCATCTCCACAACCTTGTGGATTAGACCTTTAAGTCGTAGGTTCCGGGTGTGACCCCTTAAGAAAACCACCTACTTCGGTTTCGGCATCCGAACAGTATCATAGTTCACACACAAATCAAGTGACCTGTATGGCGCATATGTATTTGAAGTACTCTAAATATTTCCTCTATTATTTAGCATGAATATGACATTATCAAACAGTATATGTTTTTTAGGATGGACATAGGATAACAGGAAGAACAAGGTAGCAAAGATGATTATTCACTTACCTATTATATAATAGAATATCTGGTTTCCATATTCTTTCTGGTGGTAAATTTATCTGTCGAATATTTTCATATTCACTTGCATTCCAATGAAAATGATAATCTGACCATTTCTAAAATGAAATTTAGTTTTGGAATAGGAAAGAAATAGATTTAGTTTGATCACATTGATAAGGATTATGTAATATCATTGATGTCGGCCAATTTTAATTCTTACAGGTATCTACCTCAGTACAATCGAGGATGGTCGCACAATTTCGTGGATTGGTTAATGTTAGACACTAACACCACTGGATGCCGGCTCAGTGGTCCAGTAGGTTAAGCGTTCGCGCGCGAGACTGAAGGCCCTGGGTTCGAATCCCGCGAGCGGGATCGTGGGTGCGCACTGCTGAGGAGTCCCATACTAGGACGAAACGGCCGTCCAGTGCTTCCAGGTTTCCAACGGTGGTCTAATATCAGTCGATTCATGATCTGAATCGAAAACTTAATAATCTCCACAACCCCAATACTGCTAATTCTTACAGTTACCCCACCCCCAAAAAAATAAATGTTCTCTCAAGAAGGAAGGATGATATATTGAGCCAATCGGACACTGGCAAAATGTTAAGCGTGAGCGATCGGTCAAGAAATAGCTTTCTTTTCGAAAGAAAGATATCCCTCATTTATCAATATACTTATTTACTTATTTCTCGTTTAAGCTAATTATTAAAGGTTTCATTCTTATTTAAGCAGCCAATTGAACTTGTTATGTATGAGATGCTTATTTATCAGTATCAGAATTGGACAATGTACAACACAACAGTTATTGTTTTTACTCCACCGAATCTAACATATCATCTTCCCTTTAAACTGTTGGTTGACGTAATGAAATCGTTCTGAAGTAGTTATATTGAGGCACCAGGTCATGATGCATACATCCCAATAAAAACTGATGGAGATAGCAATAATAATAATAATAATAATAATAATAATAATAATAATAATAAATCTTGTATTGGTTGCTTGAATCTTCCCGTTAACTCAATGGATAACGTGATGGGATTTGAAGTGAACGGTACCGGGATTCAGATATATTCAGTTAACGAGTCCGACAAAGGACGAAACTCACGTCCTATATTCCACTGAAGAGTAATCATTCATCTCTGCTAATCATAATAACAGCTTTATTCATTACGAGAAGTTTATTTAACGTAAGGAATTCTTAGCATCATTTGTTCAATATTACAATGTATTCGTCTCTCATTTTTTCCATAGTCTAGACAAGGAAGAGAATATACTGACATGTGCAGTGTTTCGTCATGAAGTCTCCGGCGTTTAGTATCACGAAAGGTCATGAGTTTTTCTTAAGAAGACCTACTGATGCAGAGGCTGCTGCTACACTAGTTGTATCCATCTGCATTTGTTCGTGTGTATGGGATAGGAGGGCTAGGTCATCTGCGAAGTGCAAATCTTCTAATTAATTCCGAGTTTTCCATTGTATTCCCTGTTTCCTCTCTCGTGTCGAGGTCTCCATAATCCAGCCGACCACCAGAAGAAAGAGGATGGGGGGGGAGTAAGCAGTCTTGTTAGACTCTGGTCCTTAGTTGAAATGCATCTGTCAGCTATCCTCCATGAACGACTTTGCACTGTAATCCAACGTATGAATTCTGGATGATGTTGACGATCATCTCAGTTACACCATAGTGTCGAAGAAGTTTCCACAAGATACTCCTGTCCAAACACTTAAAAGCCCTCTCATAGTCAATGAAGTTGATGTATAGTGACGAATTCCACTCAGTTGATTGTTCGACAATGATCCATAGTGTCGCAATTTGGTCTGTGCACGACTGATCCTTACGGAATCCAGCTTGTTGATCTCGAATTTGAGCGTCTACTGTTTCTTTCATTCGGTTCAGCAACACTCTGTTAAATACTTTTCCTGGTACTGACAGTAGTGTGATGCCTCTGTAGTTCTCACACTTGCTCAAATCTTCTTTCTTCGGTATCTTGATGAGGTGTCCTTCTTTCCAGTCCGTCGGCACTTGTTCCTACTCCTAAATCTTGTTGAATAGAAAGTAAAGCGTGTTTGTAGTTACTTCAATGTCTGACTTCAGTGCTGTTTTCCCTATCTTGATTTGTCTGATGTTCATTCTGGTTACTCCCGTCGTTGATGGATTGAAAAACAATTCGTTATCTCAATACACTTTGTTTTAATGTTAAGTAGTTGGATTTGGTTTCTGTTTTGACTGACAGTTGCCAACAAAAGTGTATCTACAATCTTAATACTAGCAGTGGAATCCATTCATTATCCATCTTTGCATTTATATGCTTGCGAATTAAGGCTATATCGAGGCAATACACACAGTATGTACATATGCCAATAAGAGAGAGGTTTAAACATCAATGGGAAGATTCAAGTAAACAATATCAAGTGAATTTATAATTTCACCTGATTGCATAAACAATTGACTATGAGGATTCAGTAGCTAAGTGGATAAAATGATGACGTTTGAAGTGAACGATACTGAGTTCAGGTCCCAAAGTGAACATCAACTCTGTGATAAAGGTATATCCAGATGATGTGTCCCAAATAAGACGTAACGCGCATCTTGGATTCTAACTCTGAGCATTATCTATCTTTGTACTTTTATTTTAAACTCCGACTACACCTCGAACATTAACCTCAACCTCATCAATTAAAATATATGTTAAGTCATAAAATGTTAGACTGATGAGAACTTATGAAATATAATAAGAAATTCCTTCTATCCTACAGATCCTATTGTTTTTATTAAGTTCGTACATTGTTGTTAACTTGAATAATGGTACATTTCTAAGATACAGTTTCCCATGATATCATCGATTCAAATTTGGAGTATATCGTCAGTATAGAACATTATTGTATAGTAATTCACAATTGAAAGAACTTACTAAATCAAGCCAAATGATTGTAGATAGAACTTGATTTTTTTCATCCTAAAATGTAGGTTAAAGGTTATATACAAAATTAAAAGTAAAATAACATTTCAATTAATTATTAATACAAAATATAGAGTACTAAACAAACTACATTTGATGAACAAACTATGGAAGGGAGGAGGAATTTTATGTGCTTGGTCAGCATTAATAATAAACAAGGGGGGACTTGATGTAGTTGCAAAGAGATGAATTGACAAAGAAAGAGTAGTATTTTTACAATCTTAATAGTTGAGATCATGAGTCACTTGAAGTTAGACCATCATGAGAGACCTGTAACCATTGGATGACCGTTTCGTTCTATTGTCGGACTACCTCAGCAGTGCGCATTCACGATCCCACCTCGTGAGATGTGAGCCCACTACCTATCAGTCTTACGCGTGAGCGCTTAACCATTAGATCACTGAGCTCACCAGCATACAACGGTGTTAATCTCTAACTTCAACCAATTCACTAAATTGAGCAACACATCCACCATTGTCCTTAGTGAGTTACTATCTCACAACAGACTTGGTTGAACTCTACTAGTCTCAACTATTAAAATTACTATAATATCCACAAAACTTCCTCAGATTTTTTTACAATCGGAAGACATTTGAAACTCAGATTAACTGTCAGGAAGCACGAAATTGACGAGTCTCAATACAGACGTCAAAACAGTTCTATTTTACAGGGCTAAAACTTGGACAACTACTACAATCATCATCGAAAAGGTATAAGTATTTATAGACCGTTATTTACACAAGATACTCCAGATCCGTTGGTCAGATACCATCAATAAAAATGTACTGTAGCAGAGCACAAACCACCTTCCAACTGAAGAGGAAATTAGAAAAAAAATTAGAGGTGGATAGGACATACATTACGGAAATCATTGAACTGGATAACAAGACAAGCCACAAATTGGAATCCTCATGTCAAAAAGAATAAAAGAAAACCAAAGAATATACTGAACCGGGAATCGGAAGGAGACATCAAAATAATAAATAGCATTTGGGAACAATTGAAGAGTGCAGGATAGAGTAGATTGGAAACCTCAGGTCGGCGGACTATGAACCATGGGGAATAACACGCATAATATAGTAATTAGTTAGGTTTTTATGATCAGAGTGGTGTCAGTCGGAGATTGGCTGTAAAAAGGAGAATGATAGGTTGGACAAGTCTAGGCATATCACAGGCCTATGCTCATATAGCATCTCATGGTCAAATGGTGGATGAAAGATCATGCTTTACTGGATCAAGCCAATGATCCACCTTTCGAATCAAGGTATCAGCCTATCTGAGTCGAAAACCGAAAAATGCAACATAGAACTGAACAACTATATTGTTCTAGCTTAGGATTCTGCAGCAGTTTGTATCCGGGATAATACACCAGTTCCACACTAGAATTTTCAAGTTTCATGACGATAACGATGATAGTTATTCACTGAGCTGAAACTCTGTGATTCACACTAACTTTATGATACAATATGATCCTTAATCAATATCACTTTTGAGTTATTACTTCATTCATAACTTATTTAACCACCCAAGTCAAGGTGACTCTGACTAGAACGATTAAAAATTTATAATTTCGAAAATCAGTCAGTCAGTCAGTCAGCTGCAACGTAAGACCAGGCACATACGTGCATCGGTCCAAGTTGCCGTACCTCACTCATTAGCACAACATGATGAACACTGAATTCATAGAAGCAGTTAATTCAGTGGTGGTAATATATAAAAGAAAGATTGCATATAAGGATATAGTACACGAAGAAAGAATTAGTTCGTAGAAAGATTTGAAGTGATTTTAATCTCTTAGTTTGAAGGAAGACAGAGAGTGTATACACCTACACCACTGTGATCGATTCTGAGCCATTTCACTCACAGTCTACAACGATTGGTTACGATAGTCATGCGGACCCCAACCAGGTAGTCTGCATCTACCAACACGGCTCAGACCAAAAGATAGTGACTGATACCATGTTTTGGTTTGGACGCCCCTAACTTTCTTCCAATTATCCTTAACACCGGTTACCATTGCGCGTCGTGGTAATTGGTGTTCAGGCATACGCAACACGTGGCCCAACCATCTAAGTCGATGATGATTCATAACCTCATCGACTGATTTACCATCATTCCTTAATACCCTGCGTCTAACCTCCCTATTACTTACCTGGTGATCCCAACAGATATGAGCAATATTTCTAAGGCATCTTTAGTCAAATACTAGTAATCTACGAGTATCTTCTACTCTTAATGTCCATGTTTCGCAGCCGTATAGTAGAACGGAAATAAGCAATATTGAATACATATTCATCATAGATATGAATAGATCTCATTCCTAGTGGAAATGTAATTTTCATCAAGAAGTGACAACACTAAAAGAGAATGAATGATAATATCTTAATTGATCTTAAAACTGATGTAACTCGGTAGGATAAGACAAGAATGAGATCATTTAACCTATCATGGGGATACTTCAGAAATACATGTATTTATACCATAAAATCCCTGTGTTTTATTCAGTGATTTCTGTTGAGTAAGTTTTACTATTCACTAAACATATTATTACCTAGAGTGCTCTGGTACGGCCGAGAGTGAGAAGAGTTAGCACTCCCTCTCCAAATCCTCTCATATGACCATAAGTATACAGCCACTATAAGGAAAGTCCTATTCACTGCCTTCTTGTGGCAGTACTGTTATTTACGACATTTAGAAGACGAAAAGAGAATGTCCGATGGGGGCTTTAACCGGGTTGGTGGACACGGCGGATTCACTTAGGGGAGTTGGAAAATCCTCATTCCAAACCAATAGTGCACATGGGCTTCAGGATCCTAAGGAAACAAATGGCTTATGAATCTAATGAATATTTTTATTCTTAAATCTTCAATACAAAGTTATATTATATTCAATGAAATAAAGTTAATCACTTACTACATCCATTATTTGATTAAGGAAACATTTAAGAAATACTTGTACAGGTTTACCATCTATTGAAACTGGACGTTCCATTGGATTATGAGCATCCCATCGTTTTTGATCAAATAAATATTTTAATAAACGTTTCTCTGAATGACCTGAATCAACTATTGTATAAATAAAAATAACAAATTCAAGTCAATATTTAAGTTATGTAATCATATATATATATATATATATATATCTTTATTGATTATCAAAATGAAGTGGGGAGGAGTTGGAGGAGATTGTAGTAAGTTAATCGTTGAATTCATGAGGTGAATAAAGTTAGTCATTAACACTGTTGGTTGCCGGCACAATGGCTTAAAGGTTAAGTGTTCACATGTGAGACCGAAGGTCCTGAGTTCGAACCGCTATGGTGCGGGATCGTGGATACAGTCAGTCAATCAGTCAGCTACAACGTCGGACCAGGCACAAATGTGCATCGGTTCAAGCTGCCATACCTCACTCATTAGCACAACAACATGAACAACGGATTCATATAATTTGTGATAATATATAAATGAAAGATTGTATATAAGGATATAGTACAGAAAGGAAGAATTAGTTTGTACAAAAGAGATACGAAGCGATTTTAATCTCGTGGGTTATGGGAAGACAGATAGTGTATATACCAACGACATTGTAATAGATTCTGAACCATGTCACCCACAGTCTGCAACCATTGATTACATTAGTCACGCAGATCTCAACCAAGTAGTTTGCATCTACCAACATGACTCAGACCAGAAGTTAGTGACTTCAAGCACTGATGCCACTTTTTGGTTTGGCCGCCCCTAACTTTCTTCCAACCATCCCCAACACTAGTCAGCATTGCGCGTTATGGTAATCGGTGTTCAGACATACGTAACACGTGGATGCGCACTAATGAGAAGTCCCATATTAGAACAAAACGGTCGTCCGATGCTTCTAGGTTTTCCATGGTGGTATATCTTTAATCGGCACATGAATTCAATTATCAAGTATCTATATTTAGTCAAATACATGGTTGATTTAAACAATAATGTTAATGTAAAGATTATTTGTTTATCAACTTTGTATGTTTTATTTGTAACAGATTGATCTCATTTGGGTCACTACTAAAAATGAGGAAAAATTGTATGTATATTTTGTTCTAGAATAGAACTCTCTAACACTGTCTATCCATGACCCCCAAAACGGATCAGGAAAATGATGTCCAAGTTTGACGGTAAGCGCTTAACATTAGACATAGTAAAATTGCCTGAATTGGTTCATTTGCTTAACTTATAACTACTTGATTAAAGGTCATACAACGAATTAAATCCTTAAACTAGACCATTTCAACTTGGTGATCAGGCATTACCATTCAGTTCCTCTCTAGTATATGTTATAAAACTTACAGTCAGTCAGTAATAACGTAAAACTTCGTACGTACGTACGTACATCAGTTCGAGTTGCCATACACCACATTAGCACATAGATACAATTTTCGATTCAAATCCCGTAGTGGTAGAGGTGGTAAGAGTATAAGCAGTAATCGAAAACATTAGGGTTTGAAGATGTTATTCAAGGAGTATAATACAGTGAAATAAATTTGGAAAGAAAAATGAAGGGACATGAAGAATTCGGAAGATTAGAATTTTGGCGAACACAAGGAGTGGATGCATCTGTGCCATTGTAAACGATTTTGAACCATGTCATTCAAGGTCTCTAACCATCGGTTGCAATCGTCTCGCGGATCCCAATCAAGTAGTCTACATCTACCAACATGGCTCAGTCCACTTGTCAGTGACTTCATGGATTTGTGCTATGTTTTGGTCTGGCTGCGCCTAACTTTTTTCCAACCTACTCCTACACCACGCGTCGGTGGTTGGGCATACATAACACATGTCCCAACCATTTCAACTAATGAGTGAACTTATACTCATCGATGGATAAAAGTAGTTTAGAGTAAGTTACACAAAGCATAATTGAACCTGAACAGATTTCGATTCCAAATTTAATAGTCATATTCTAAATGTTGATTATAAAACATTCAATATCATTCTAACTTTGAAGAAATTTCAGTTTTGACTAGATGATTTTCAACAGAAAAACTTTATGGATCTCAAAAAGGGAATAAAGACTCCAATGAACCATGTATCATTTATGCTCATAATCATCAGTAGAATTATGTTAGATATGAATTCATGTTTTTGTCTCTATGGTCTAATATTAGATCAACTATAAGAGTAAAATTACACCTCAATGAATTCTGATGAAGGATTATACTCCGTTGTATTTTATCAGCAACTTAAAAGGTAAATGGTATTCATGAATCAGTTGAAGCTAGACCACTATGGAAAACCTGGAAGCACTGGACGATCGTCTTACCCTAGTATGAAACTCCTCAGCAGTGCGAATCCCCGATCCCGCATCGCGAGATTTGAACCCAAGACCTATCAGTCTCGCGCGTGTGCACTTAATCTCTATACCACTGAGTCGCCATCCGACGGTTTTCCGTAGTGGTCTAGCTTCAATTCAACTATTAAAACTACTATAATATCAACAGATCCTCTACCTGATTATAATATTGTATTGTTTCCAAAACTATCCATGACCATAAGGCGAATCTATAGGAAACAAATTATCCAAGATCATAGAGACAAGTTTCTGTTTAATTTATCTGTATTCTCATTAACCAACAAGTAGTATAAAAGTCTAAAGGTTATTTTCAGTGGCTAAAGTTTCAAAAATCACAGTATTTGAAATAACAATAAAACATACATTATGGTCAGTATATGACATGGTGTCGTGGTATGAAAGAAAGCTGCAAAGGGCTAGCTTCTGTTGGTCCTTCACGACTCCCTGGTTGGGGTCCGAGAGACGGTGTAACCCAGTGGCTAGAGACGTTATCAGATATGGCTCAGAATAGAAGCCAATGGCGATCCTGCTGTAACCTTCTTTTACTTTCTTCATAAAAAGTGTTTGTATCTTCCTTAACTGAAAGATCTCATCTGATTGTACCTTTCCGTTTCCCCCACCATTGTTCTCTCTCTCTCTTTTTTTTTATAACTCCCCAAGTTCATTACTTTTTTTTCTCTTTTCTCCTTCTCTTCAAATTATCATTGTTTTGTGTGGCGCATATATATTTGGTGCCCCCCTGTACCAATATTTATGTGTTCAAATAAATAAATACATTATGACGGACTACAAACAAGATTGTTTTTACTCAGTAAAGTCCAGGAAAACCCCACAAGGAGCACTTCTAAGGTTATTGCCGAATCTAAGCCCGGAGTGAAGGAGGATGGGTAGAGGGATATAGAGATTAGAACTATTCTTGAAGGTATCAATCGACAATATTGTTATGATGGGTTCTGATTATGAATTTCAAAGATATTCATCACTTGTTTATGAACTGAAGTTTAATTTCACTATGTATCACATATTTTTACCAACCGCTATACTGTTTAAAACCTATGTATAACATAAGAGTTATGATTCAATGGGTAAATCATTCAATTTTCAATCAGTAAGGGGTGGAGATAAACTCTACTCTTTTTCTCAAACTTGACCTTGAACTTGGCAACCAACAAAAATGACATGGGAACTATTATTTATACTATCACAATTCATGTTGGAGGGTGTGTTTCAACCTGTCGTTTCAACCTGGCTTATAAGAAAAATATCAAGTTTTCTACAATAAAAATATCACGCTATCATGCTACGAACAAGTCAAGTGTAGTAAACTTCGTTATGATAGTAAAATTCATACCTCCAATTCATTCTATAATAGAAATTGTTTCATAATAGCTATAATTGAATGATTGAATGAACGAAAATAAAAAACCGTCATTACTGACTACGTTATACTCAGATGATATAACAATGTGGAGTGTTTATCTCCAGTCTCAACATTACCAACGTAGTTTTTGACAGCTGGTTAATATCACTAACCTTAGTACATAACAGAATTTCCTTTAACTATTGAGGGTATCTTCTCTTCATTATTGAGTAAATCAACACTCGAACTTAGGATGATTCAAATGAAAACCTCTTGGTACAAGTGAGATTCATATCAGAAGGGTGTTTTATGAATATAATAATAATCATTTCAATGATTGAGATCATCAATCGATTGAAGCTAAACCATCATGGAAAACGGTCGTTGAATGCTTCCAAGTTAAGAAATGGAATGGGATGGTAGTGAACAAGAACAGAAGTGGGAACAATCAAGTATATTCAAACAAACAGAATCTTAGTTAAATCTAAGAACCATACTGTAAATAATTCATTTGTAAAATGTCAATCAATTAACTCAGACTTCATTGTTCCTTCGTTTCCACATCAATCAATCTCTATTCTTATTCTCTATTCTTCGAACTTCTTAACGTTCTGATGCCAGGTATTTCATTTTTGATTGATGATACATACTACTTATATATCTGTCAATATCAATAGCATAACACCACAGAATGAATGCAGACTAGAAAGGTGATTATTTGAAGTAAATGCAAGTCATAGTTAGTGATAACTCTTTTTCATTTTAACCATAAATTCCATAATAACAAATAACAAACTATTTCTAATGCTTATTCACTTCATCAACTATAAAACTAATTACATTAGAAGGTTTTGTGAAGAATTCTTCCTACTTTTAAAAGTCTTATTCATTTTTTTTTTCTGGTTAGCGTTTTTTTAGCAAGTTAGTTTTCTACGGGATGGGGTCGCTAACCCCATGCCCAACCCTAATCTTTTATCCGGGCTTAGGACCGCCAGTAGCCCTCGGAGGGACTCCATTTCCTACATTAGGCCGGGAAATGGAGATAGACATGAGAAAAATGAACAAGAAATGGATGGAACTAGAAAAAAAGGCCCAAGACAGAGTGGGTTGGAGAATCCTTGTCGGCAGTCTATGCTCCATTAGGAGTAACAGGCGTAAGTAAGTAAGTAATTCATCATAAACAGATGTCAGCTAAAGAATATTAGACTTCTGCTCCATCTTGGTTTCGAACTCAACACGAAGGTCTTCATCATCATACGTAAAGGGGAATAAGTTAAGCGATAGAAGAATTATGCAGTAAATCATAAATAACCTTAGTTAAAGACTGTTATATGACATATTGAGTTTAGTTTAAAATATGGTTAATTGTAGTCTTAGCAAAGATGGATAGTAGCTAGCAATGGAATCCAATTTGACGGGTGTTTCGTCCCATTTGGGATTTGTCAGGCGGATGTACCTGCATCACAGAGTTGATGTTCACTTTGGGACTCGAACCCAGTACCTAGACTCTAAGATGCAGGTACAACCAGCTGATGAGTACCAAATAGGACGGAGCATGCGTCAAACTGGATTTTACTGCTAGTCACTATCCACCTTTGCTTAAAAAGCTTGTGACTTAAGGTTATATCGAGGTAATACGCACAGGATGCACATATGCCAATAAGAAACTGATCAATTACAATCCTAAACAACAATGGGAAGATACAAGTAGAACAACACCGAGTGAATTTAATTGTAGTCAAACTGAATGTTCCACAGATTATGTGTTCATCATGAGATATATGAATTTTTGATTAAGATCATGAATCGATTGATGTTAGACCATCAATGAAAACCTGGAAATACTGGACGGCCATTTCATCCTAGGATGCGAAATGCTAAGGAGTCTCATATAAACACGAAACAGCTGTTCAGTGCTTTCAAGTTTTCAATACTGATCTAACATCACACATTTTATGATCTCAATAAGAAAACAAATCTACACAATCTCCACAATCCCATACTGATCATAAATCAATATCTCGTTTCATATGTGCATACATCTTCAACCTCTCAGACAAGAATGAACACAACTATTCAATGCTACTATTGATTTCATAGTTGAATTCATCAATCAATTGAAATTAGATCATCATGGAAAACATAAAAACCACTTGGACAACCGTTTCGTTTCTATTGTATGGGACTCCTCAACAATACGCAATCATGATCCTACTCACGGGATTCCACTGCTTATGATAAATATCTATACATAAACATACACACACACACACACACAAACATACATTTAACTAACCTTTTCCAATCCATAAAATAAATAGAATTTGATATAAAACTATGTGTAATAGAATATGATATAAGTTACTCATTATAGTAATAATAAGAATGATAATGGTTATGTAATCCGATTACATGTATTAAAATCAATGGAAAAGGTATTCCCAATGGTCAACAATGACAATCAATGACAATAATAAGAACATTATCCTAGACACTATATTTTCCCTTTTATATATTGATTGACAAGTCGATCAATATATGTGTGTGTCTATACATAAGTGTGTCATTGATTCTAAATTTAAAAAAAAAATAAACTTTCCTTCAATATTAGAAGGTAATTCTTACCCCCCCCTTTTTTTTAGACCTGTCTATCCACTGAAGATTATCTTAAGGTATATAATTCAATGGACGTAAAGAGATACGGACATATGGGAGTGAAAACAGATTTTAAAAAAAAAGAGCGAAAGAAGGGGGGCGGTATAAAAGTAGTATTCAGATGAATGATAGATATTATTTAATAAAGGGTTTAGTAGTGATGCTTTATGTGATTTATACCTATTTTTCATTATAAAAAGATAATATCTGAAAGGCACCATATAAATCATTCGATTTATGTGAGAGCTGGGATACTGCCCGGATGCTCAAACTGAAATAGATAGTTTTCTTAGGGGGGAGGTTACTCCTCGAGTCTATAACCTAGAGAGATTTAATCCACAAGATAATGGAGCAACGTGAGAAGATGCAGTCTGATGGTAGCTGGTAACCATTTGTTTCTTCAGGATCTTAGAGCTCATGTGCATCATTGGTTTGGAATGAGAGTTTTACAACTGCCCTAGGTAATCAAGAATGAAAATAAAGGTCATAGAACAATTAATGTCTATTGATTGCAGCTATGGTTTGTCAGTCATGTACAGCAGTGGCAATGTATTTTAAGTTATTTATCGTCATGAATTAACATCCATTCCGAAATCCCTAATTAATGTACACTCTCGAATTTATATAAGAATAAAGCTATGACATTCACATTATATCAGAACGAAGTATAAGTGAATGATAACAACTAGGAATCATTTATGAACTATTATTACATATATTCCTAATGGATAACTTTTAAGTGTTAGAAATGTTAAATCCTAAGAATTCAGTTGGTAAATGGCTTCGTTTTTGCGCTAAATGCACTCATTTTTATCTTCATGTAGTATTTCCCACTTAGAAGGATCTTAAACGCAATTGGTTCATTGTCATTTTTAATATGCTATTTTGAAATGCTTGATTTGTGCTTGTTATTATTATTGTTGTTGTTGTTGTTATTTATGTTCCTGGCTACTTGTGGAATACATTTCTCTCGTCTGAACCTGAAGTTTTCTCTCTAGTTAACGGGGCTGGCACATGTCAGAATAGGTAGCTTATCTATCATTGCGTCAAAAAATCTTCGTTCCTTTCTGAGATTAAATGAACTCGTAATCTCTTAAAACATAGCAATAAGTAGTCTGATTAGATGTAGATTCATAATGCATTTATTGTAAGTTTTCATTTAACCTAATAACAATTATTATACGATTTAATATTCCCAAGTTGCAACCAAATTATTAGTTATAGTCTCTCACATACAGAAACTTTTGAACTGATCTTTTATAATTCTTACTTTCTATTTTATGGTAGTAATTTGGTTGCTTGTGTATAAACCAAGTATGTCCGAAATGAACGATTCATATTGTGGAAGCTGATATTGTGTTCTGGACTCAAACAGGCAGGGCTAGGAGAGAAGAATCAATGAGGAACTCAAATTTGACTAAAGGCTGCTCCTAATGGTTTGGAATAGGGACAAGCTCATATAAGTCGATATTCTGATCGACGATTTTGTCACGTGATAATTGACAGTGGAAAAAGTTATAACAATTCAAGCCTATTGGCTATCAGGGAACAGAAGCAACCTGACGGATTCGATCCCATGTCACCCAGCTTCACATTCAGAGACGTTACCATTGAGCTACCCGGTAGGACAGAGATGTATTTTTAATTGATTGATCAGTGGATTGTGATTAATGTCATGTATGTCAAGTCCTTCTTAGTGTAGACCGAATCCTATCAACCAAGTAGCACGAAACGTGGGTCTAGGGTTTCCTGTTGACTACCTTCAATCACCATCTTATCTCAACATTGTGCGTGCAATGTCGAGTCTTTTAAACTGGTGGCTATATTGCATCTTGGTCGATAGAATTCGATCTGCACTAAGAACATGACATACAGGACATTGACCACCACCCAGTGATCAGTCGATTGTAAATATTACTAATTGTCTGTCTTTATGTGAATTTACGTTACCTATGATTAGTGTGCTAATTCACCTTATGACAGTATGATAAATTGAAAGACAGAATTTCTTTATGTTTACTGTTTGCGGGTCGATCTGATAATCAAGCTTCTAGTAGTTCTGCAGTCTTTTTGAACTCCATAACTTTTCTATACTGAACTATACTACTTACGTTTGAATCAGTAGTTTGAATGACTTTGATGGAGTTTTGTTCTCATAAGGTGACAGTTCTCAAGTTTGAATGACTTCCAAATATTTTTATGGCTTATATAATCTGAAACTGGAGAATTATTCGCTGCAACGAGTCGGTCAGCTCTCATACTTTAATGTTCGAGTTCGCTTTTTCATCTTTAATTATTGTTTACTCCTTCTAAAATTTAGTTAGCGTTATGTGAGCCTTCATTATTTTATTCACAACTTAGATATTTTTGGTTGGTAGAATAATGTAGAACTTTATAGATTATATTGCTTTTTTCAGGTATTCCTCCTTGTCCATAATTACTGTTGTGCGTCCTTTGTCCGCTGGAACTATGACAATATCCTTTCTAGTTCTAAGTCCCTTCAAGGCTTTTTGTTCTTGTGGGGTCAGTTTGTTGTTTTCTTTCACCTGTTGCGTTAGCGGTACTATAGTTTGCCTTATTTCTTGTTGTGTTTCCTCACTGAATCCAGAAGTTTTGAGTGATGACTCTAGTGCTGCGAAGAATTCTAGTTTTGAGGCGTCGCTTATGTTTTAGTTTTATCCTTTTTCGAGTAGGTATTCATCTGTGTTTGTTAGTGGTTGTTTGAGAGATTGATCACCATCTCAAGATTATATTGCCCCCAAATGCCCTGGTACGACCGAGGGTTGGGTGAATCAGCTCTCCCTCTCCAAATGCTCTCACATGGTCAGGCGTATACATCCACTTCAATGAAAGTCCCACTCACTACCTTCAAGCGGTGTTGTTGTTTGCGAAATTGAGAGAACGAAACGAGAAGGTCAGATGGGGACTTTACCCGGGTTGGTGAATGAAGAGAATCCACCTGGGGGAGTTGTAAAACCCTCATTCCAAACCAATGGTGCATATGGTCACCAGGATCTTGAAGGAACAAATAGCGTATGAACCTATTTTTGGTTACCACTAACATGGAACCGCATCTCATCACGTTATTCCACTTCCTCTTGGATCAGACCTTTAGGCCAAAAGGTTCGGATGTGGCCCCCTTAGAAAACCACTTGCCTCAGTTTGAGCACCATGGTATTATTACGATGGCTAGCAATGGAATCCAGAGCGCGCTTTTCGTCCTAGTTGGGACTCGTCAGCTGGATGCACTTGCATCTCGAACTTGATCCGGAACTCGAACTGAGTCCCATTCGCTTCAAACGCCATCGTGTTATACACTTGGCTACTGAATCATATCCCACACATCTAGATAGATACTAATCATATAGTGTATTTAGTCACTTTAATGGTTAATAGTTCTTAACCTGAATATAACATGGATATATTTCAGTCTTATGCAATAATTTATTTGTCCTTTATCAACCAATCCATAGTGTAAAGAATAAATTCAAAGACATTTATTAAATAGCATTTTTTCTAAATAAAAAAAAGACTATATCGACCAAGTCTTCTCAAACAATGTGGTATATATATATATATATATATATATCAGAAAGGGAGATAAAAACAAATCAATAATTTATCTGTGTCAACAAGCACCACGTAAAGCCGTAGTGAAACACTTAGATTAAAATTGTCACAAGTAATTTCCGAATACATACGCATGCACTTCCACATACACACACACACACACGTACACCACCCCCGATGTGTCTTGAAGATAAAAAAAAAGACTAGTTCGTTCATATCTTATTCACTTAGATACACCCATACACACATACACACACCTACAATCATTTTGTGCTATTTTGATTGTCTATCACAAAAGGTGTAAGATAAAATCAATATATATATATATATATATATATATATATATATATATATATATATATATACCCAGTGGTAATGATAGAATGAATAGTAATAGTTGAGTAATTAAGAAAATAAAAGTCAAGGATAAAATAGGCAATAAAAATCAAACTTGTAAGCAAAATACATAAGAGAGGCACAAATATAACTGCCAATTTCAAAGGACTTTGAATACAATTTACGCGCGTGTGTGCACGCATGTGTGTGTGTGTGTGACAAGGATACAGTTACATACATAGAAACAAACAAGTAAACAAACAAACCAACAAGATGATAAACATAGAAATGACTAGATTTCAAATATTTATCAAAACAAAAAAAAAGAATCGATTCCTACATACATTCACAGAAAAGCCAAATAGACCTGTTTCTAGGAGAATGTCAACAATGCACATTAATGTATTTCTATGTGTATTATCATCATCATCATCATCATAAAGAATTCCTTCAATTGTCATCGTTGTAAACGATCATTTCATGGAAATATAATTTAGAAAATAAAAATTAAAGTGATCAAATCAATTCATTGATTCGTTGTGTTCAAGTGTGAAGCCTATATTGTTGGGCATATAATAATAATTCATAACATTAAGAATGATTATGATGATAGTGTCCCTATTACCCCTTCCACCACCACCACCCCCGAAGAAAAAGCAACACATTTAATGTTAATGAGACAAATACATGCATATAAAAACATAAGAAGAGTATGAAAGCGAAAGAGAGAGAGAAAGAGGACCTTATCGATTGGTATGCCTAAATCTGCTATTTACATAACAATTCCTAGATGATCAGAGGGGGGGCA